GAAAATTTAACCTCACGGTTATTGTGACCAAAATTATCACGGTTTTCGGTATTATCGCGGTATTTTTTAAACGGTGTTGCATATGTTCAGAAAGCATTGATAGTCCTGTTCTACACAAACTGAAATAGTTCTGAAAAGGTTTAACAGTGTTTATTAAACCTAAAATAACACAAAGCCTTAGCAAAAGTGCAACTTTTCACAAGTAAAGGAACAAATAGCTTCTTTTTCTGGAACATGTTACAGTAGTCAGTGCAGGTTTAAATTATACAAATCCAAACATTCAAACCATAAACAATATGTAAACAAATCAAAGAAACACCACTTGTTTTCTCATATACTTGTTTTCTTCATTATCAAAATGAAAATCTAAAACTCCAGTCCACACTTGACTTGAGCACTGTACAAGTCAACCTTAAAAAAATGTATTTAAAATAAATAGCCACTTTAAACAAATTACTAAAATAACTACTACACTATGTAATCAAATCCAAATGTTCAAGTATAAATGGCATTGAATAAGTAAACAAATCAATGACAAGGAACTAATTGTATTTTTCTCCTCATCATCAACAAATAAGATGCTTCATCCAGCAACAGGGTGTCCGTGACACGGTTTAAATGCTGGCAGAGGGCGCTGCGGCGACTCGTTGCATTCTCCCTCAACCAAAAGTCCTCACGTCATGCATTTAAGCTAAAATGCTAATGTTAACTTACCTTGCACTGGCTGTAGAGACGTGGGTGATGGTCACTCAGATGTGCCATTAGATTCGAAGTGTTGCTGCCTTTTGCAGACACTTGTTTCCTGCACGTTCTGCAAACGGGATAGCCGTCTTCTATTAACTGTCCCTCAGCGTTTTTCAGAAATCCGAAATATGCCCATACTTCCGATTTAGTCTTCTTTGAGGGCTGATGGATGTCCTGGGCGCTGCCGTCTCCTCCTTCGGCCATTATTTCAGCTTCAAAGTTTTGGTTGCAAACTAAACAGTGCGCGCCGCGGGAACCTCAGCAGAAGCGACGGTGGCTGGTAAGGGTCACCGCGCCTAAACCGCGGCCACGGTAAACCCACTGAGATAATTTAGTTTTTTAAAAACTGGACGGTTATTTTTATTGTCAACTTTTTTACTGGGGTTTACCGCTATACCGGTTACCGTGACAACCCTACGCTGGATATCCTTAGGGATGCTTGTGCTGAATACCAGTGTGCACTAAAGTATGCAAAGACACAGTACTTTTCTATGCTTATTGTAAATAACTCCCATAGGCCTCAGGTCTTATTTAGAGTATTATCTCTCCTGTTGTGTCTTCTTGCCTAAAGTTTTCTGATCTGTTCTGTGAAAAGTTAAAGAATTTCTTCACAGATAAGATCATCTCTCTCAGATCATCTTGCCCTTCCTCTCTGGTGGACACAGCTTCTTCACAACCATGCTCAACTGCTATTGACCAGTTTGAGCTGTTGTCTCTCTCTGACCTCTCTAAGGTGGTTCACCAGTCAAGACCTTCTTGCATCCCACTGGATGGTATTCACCCATCACTTTTTAAAAATGTATTTTCTATTATTGGGCCCATTGTTTTACTTATTATAAACACTTGCTTATCTCATGTCCCTGCTGCCTTTAAACGTGCTGTTATTCAGCCGCTCTTAAAGAAACCTAATCTCGATCCCATGGTGCCTTCCAACTACAGGCCTATCTCTAAGCTCCATTTCCTTTCTAAGGTCATGGAGAGAAGTGTCTACAGGCAGCTGCAGGACTACTCAACCATTATGGTATTTTAGAGAAGTTTCAATCAGGTTTTAAGAAATACCACAGAACTGCTCTTTTAAGAATATTTAACAATATTTTTTTAACTATCGATTCCGGTCAATCAGCTGTATTGATCCTTTTAGACCTAACGGCAGCCTTTGATACGGTGGACCATCAGATCCTTTTATACCACCTAGAGCATGACGTTGGTATCTGGGGCACAGTGTTGCAGTGGTTTAAGTCCTACCTGTCAGACAGGACTTTTACTGTAAATATGGGGCAGTGTTGTTCGTCTCCAGTGAAACTTAAGGCTGATTCATGCTTCTCCGTCAGCTCCGCAAGGGACAGACATGCACGGATTGACGGAAGGATTTTGCTCTTATACTTCTCTGTCTCCTGGGGAGTGTTGCAAAGCAATTCCCGGCAGGACAACAGAGGGCATGGCGCTGTTCTGTGGTATCCTGTCATGTATCCGGTCCAAGATAGTGTGTTTATATTGTGTTTTTTGTATATAAGAGACTTTTTAACATGGACAAATTTGTCTCTCATTCCCCTCCACCTCTTCATGCGCTCGCCACCTCTAAACCCACATTTCCTGTCATTTCCGTCCACAAATAAAACGCTTGCTGCGTATCTTTTCACTCATCCAGTCACGGGGGAATTAAACGTTCATATTTTAGAGTTTTTTCGTGAGGTATTCTTCAAGCTTCTTCATGTCTGCCGCTAGTTATCCTCGGCTCTGTTTATGTTTTTGAGGGTGCAATGGCAGAGGTGTAGACGACAGTGGTGCCCTGACCAATCACAAGCTTGCGTTCTCCATCTTGTCGGTTGTTTAAAAAAGTAGGCTAGACTCCGTACATACTTGCGTGCCTGCCAGGGCCTTACGGAAGGACGGATAACGGCGTTGCGTGTCTCCGCACTGACGCAGATGGAGAAGCATGAATTAGCCTTTAGTTGTGGTGTCCAACAAGGTTCAGTTTTGGGCCCACTCTTGTTCTCACTGTATATGTTGCCCCTTGGCGCTATCTTTCATAAGCATGGCATCTCACACCACTTCTTTGCGGACGACGTGCAGATATATATCCCACTACATTCTCAAAGGCCATCGTTTGATAAATTACTGAAATGTCTAAAAGTTGTTCAAAACTCTTTACAATTTAACCTTCTCACTTTAATTGACAAAAAAAACTGAAATGGTCATTTTCGGGGACCCTGGGCTGTTGCATGGGGGAAACAGTGCATTTGACCCTTTAGAATACTTTTGCGTGTCTCAGGCAAGAAATCTGGTTTTATTTTCATTGATGGCCATTTTAAGCTTGATAAACAAATAAGGTCTGTGGTCAAGAGCGTGTTCTTTCATTTGCGTGTTCTTAGTGTGACAGTGTGAGCATCCTGTCACAGTGTCCCGATTGATCATGTGCCCTGGCTATTTGGCCAAGGGGATGTCCCTTTGGCTGACTGGTAAGCGAGCGTGACTCTCACCCGGGAGTCGGGGGATCAAATCCCGCCCGGGCCCTCGTTTCTCCACCTTGCCACATTTGGCATCACAAACAGGATCCATGTAGTACTGTCAAGTAGGTCCATGGATGGGAAATTTGTGGCACCCTGCGCAGGAGCACGAGGATGTGCTTGTGGAAAGAGGGAGGAAGATGTGACGGTGTGAGCATCCGGTCACAGTGTCCCGATTGATCATGCGCCCTGGCTACTTGGCCAAGGGGATGTCCCTTTGGCTGACTGGTAAGCGCACGTGACTCTCACCCGGGAGTCTGGGGATCGAATCCCGCCCAGGCCCTCGTTTCTCCACCTTGCCACATTAGTAAAGTCAAGCCCTATTTGCCAATGAAAGACTTTGAAAAGGTTATACACTTGCTAATCATGTCAAGACTCGACTACTGCAACTCTCTATATCATGGACTGGAGCAGTCGTCAATTCACCGCTTGCAGGTGGCTCAGAATGTGGCAGCTTGCTTGCTGACAGGTAGGAGACACCGGGATCAAACAACTCCGGTCTTACAAGCTCTTCACTGGCTCCCGATCACTTACAGGATTCAATTTAAAATGCTACTGCTCTGTTTTAAGGCACTGCACAACTTGCCCCCTCCTTATCTGTCGGAACTCTTAAACACTCATGTCCCCAAAAGAAACTTGCGATCTGTCAGATTTGATTCACCCATACTTTCCATCGCTGTTCCTTTGGTTGGCAGAGTTGGTTGTGCCCAACATCAAGAGGGAGATCGGGGTTCAAATGCAAAGTTGAATTTCAATTTGTGATTACCAATGGGACTTTAACTTTATTTCAAAGAGTTTTAGATCAGATTGTGCTTATTTGTGGTGTACAGCGCTTTGTTTGCCCCTAGGGCCATGTGAAGGCGCTTAAAAATAAACTTGACCTTGACCATAATGGATTTGATTTATTTAGCATTTTTCAAGGCAACCACAGCACTTTCCAATAGTCACGCACTTGCATTCATGAGCATTTTGTAACCACGAGCCACATTGGGATGGTTTGATTTCTTTTTATTTTAGTCAGGGGGTGTTCAAGAGTTGGTAAGTCATTGGTTGGCCAAATTACCAATGCTTGCAACCCAAGCTCTCACCTGGTGCTACCTTTGATACATAAAACTTATTTCCTTTGTCAAGCCTCCAAACTACAGGTGTGTTTTAGCATGAAGCTAGTGTTGCTAACAGCCAGACAATATTTACAATTTTTAAGACTTACTGTAATATAGTAAAAGAAAACAGGCCAAGACATCCAGTGATGTAGGGAGATCTTGTTTTTTCTGTCTGAATGAAGGCGGTAAATCTGCTGCCTTCTAGCAGTGGGAGTTTGAATTGCGCCAAACAAAAGAAAACAGTAAATGTTTGCATGTATGTTCTTCTTATGTAACAGAAATCAATACTGATTTTAAATATTGATTCAAAATTATAACATGAAATGTCACTATTTCAGTGTACTGATTTTCTTACATCCCTACTCCAAACATGGTCTAAATATTTTTAAACTTATCTTAGGTTAGAAGAGTTTAAACCACACTTTACAGATTTTTTCCCCATATTTCAAATGAAAGCAAAAGAAAAACATCTGAAAACATCTCCAGCAGTGGCTGTTATAATTTCTCAGTACTTATTGTCTATGGTTTGAGCTGTAATTTGTTGTTACTCTTCCAGACAAAAGCAGAAGCTTGACTTTCTTTGAAATGTGAATATGAGGAAACAAACACTTCCTCTAATTTAGTTGACTTTTTTTTCTTTCTTTGGTTCCTTTGTTGGTAAATCAGGTCAGTTTGGGCAGGCAGACAGGAGAAATGACAGACAATGAAATCAACTATGCTTCTGTGGTCATCCACAGTAAAAAAGAATCCCAACTGGAGGGTGAGTTACAGTAATTTTTAATTTTAAACATTAGTGTTCTGGATTTGTAATTAGTAGATTTACAGCAGCATGACAATATACATAAGCCAAAAATGTGTACTTAACTAATTATTTTAAATGTCTTTGATGTGCTATGGAAAATAAATCATGATAGATAGATAGATAGATAGATAGATAGATAGATAGATAGATAGATAGATAGATAGATAGATAGATAGATAGATAGATAGATAGATAGATAGATAGATAGATAGATAGATAGATGATAGATGATAGATAGATAGATAGATAGATAGATAGATAGATAGATAGATAGATAGATAGATAGATAGATAGATAGATAGATAGATAGATAGATAGGTAGATGATAGATAGATAGATAGATAGATAGATAGATAGATAGATAGATAGATAGATAGATAGATAGATAGATAGATAGATAGATAGATAGATAGATAGATGATAGATAGATAGATAGATAGATAGATAGATAGATAGATAGATAGATAGATAGATAGATAGATAGATAGATAGATAGATAGATAGATAGATAGATAGATAGATAGATAGATAGATAGATAGATGATAGATAGATAGATAGATAGATAGATAGATAGATAGATAGATAGATAGATAGATAGATAGATAGATAGATAGATGATAGATGATAGATAGATAGATAGATAGATAGATAGATAGATAGATAGATAGATAGATAGATAGATAGATAGATAGATAGATAGATAGATAGATAGATAGATAGATAGATAGATAGATAGATAGATAGATAGATAGATAGATAGATAGATAGATAGATAGATAGATAGATAGATGATAGATAGATAACCAGACAAGAAATGAACTAACCTTCACTCTGTTTCAGCTCCAAGAGAAAATATTATCTATGATGAAGTGAAGACGCAAAATGCAACTATGCAGCAAACTGATCATGCAAAAGGTAAGAATATCCTGAGATTGTGTTGTTTATCTTTTCCTCTTGCTCACAGATTGATGGGCGATTGGGCATCACATAATGCAAAATGGGCTGATTGACTTTATTAAAGGAATTCCTAGAAAGCTTTTGCTGTGTGACATTCAACTCCAAAACTTCGCAGCTGCAAAGAAGGAAGAGACTGTTTATGATGATTTGACTATAAAACTATACTATAAAAACTCCAAACACTGATGGTGAATTTAATGATTACAAAAACAAACTAAATGTTTGTTTTATGAAAAGAAACAGTTTACTTTTGATCATACATCTATTCTTCTTATCATGACAGAGTATGGGTTATTTTTTCTCACTGCCTGATGGTTTAAAATTGTCAAATCCAATCAGAAAGAGTCCAGTCTAAAAAGAAATTCACCACAACAGAGCAGAGAAGCATCCTCTTTATTGAGAACAAAGCTCTGATCTATCTGCCACTCCACTCTACCATCACTCCAGGCCCCTCAGCTCTGAGCAAGGGGAAGCACAGCATCTAGTGGTAGACCAGGGGAACCACAAGACTGATGGTCCCAGTCATTCATGCATGTTCCTCATTCACATATTATACTACATATGCACATGTATGGAAGGGGAGCAGAGTGGGAGGAGGTTCTTGGGGGAATGTCATGGGGAGCTTTATTTTTATTGAATGTGAGAATATAGCAAATTGCCTGATTCTTTGCCCTTAAAACATCTGACAAGGACAAGCACAAACAGAGGGTAATCAGGAATCAGTTGGGTAGGATGGGGGGCAGGAGAATCCAATAAACACTTAACGAGGGGAGATAGGACAAGTCAGCGGGAGAAGGAGAAGGTCAAGACAAGATCAATGCGCTCACAGAAGACACTTCCCTCCACAGTCTGCCAAATCCTTCAATAACACAAGATCAGCCATGCAACATTCACTCACAGGTGTCTTTTATAGGTTCTTATTGGGCAAAAATAATGTGTGGATGAGGATCACGCGTGGATGACTGAGACCTTCAGTATTGTGGTTCCCCCGTTCTATCACTATATGCTGGGGGGCATCTCAGCTCTGCCCCTGACAGAAGATAGATCAGAGGCAAAGGTACCTTAGCAAATAGAAGCACATGTTTCAGACAGCTACACATTGCGTCTGCCTTAAGGTCTCTCAGTGAACTCAAGGGCAACCCCAAATAGCCACATTGGGGGTCAGTTTCCACCAAGCCAAGCTGAGAGACCAGCTGACCAGATCCGTGGTAAAAAAAACAGAAAAAATCCAGAGGAAAATGCAGAGAGATGCTCCAGGAAAGACTGTCAGGACAAGCAGCAGACAGAGACAGGGTTAGAAGAAGGGAAAGAAAAAGCTTCCATCCTCGCCAAGAGCAGGAAGAAGGAAATGTTTTAAATTAAGAATTTAAAAGGTGTCTGCGATTACAAAACACAGAATATTACTAATAATGTCAAACAAATAATCTAATAATAGGTATGACCATTTCCAGCCACAAAGACAGAACAGGCTATGCAGAATGAAAGAAAGGTAAAAAAAAAAAACACCCAGCATGACACTGTGTTTATGTTTACATCTACAAGCCTTTAGAGGGCACCGTTGTGCTAAAAGTCCACTGGGCAAGGCGAGCCTGGGAATGTGTAAAATGATGGACTTGACAAGTCAAGCAGCTGATTCTGAGCCCAGAAGATGTTCTAACAGTAAATACTGTTGTAAAAGAAACGTATTAGTAGAAATGAGTCCTTAGTCTGTACGATTTGTCACTGGACATGGTGCTGGAATGAGTCCGCAGTGAACCCATCACCCCAACGGCTGGAAAATGATTTCTGTTGTTGCACTACCACCTCTAGACACTAGATGTCACCAGAGTGTCCGTGTTCCATATTCAACCTTTAAATCAGGGGTGTGTAACCCTGGTCCATCAAGGGCCGCTATCCATTATATTTTAGTTTCAACCCTGCTTCAACACACCTGATTTTAATCAGCAGGTGATTAACAAGCTTCTGCAGAGCCTGATGAGCTGCTGAACAGGTGAATCAACCACTGAATCAGAAGTGTTGGAGCAAAGATGTGCAGGATACCGGCCCTCGAGGACGAGGGCTCCCCACGCCTGCTTTAAATACTTTTCTACAAGGTGAAGGAGTCAAAGCACAGTCGCTGAGGCTTTGCCTAAAACTTGTGGAAAACCCTGGTACTTGAGTTCCCAGCATGCTTTGGTTGTCCTCCTGCTCCAACACTCCTGATTCAGTCGCTGATTCACCTGTTCAACAGTTAATCAGTCTCTGCGAAAGCCTGTTAATCACCTTCTGATTAAAATCAGGTGAGTTAAAGCAGGGAAACAACTAAAACATGCTGGAAAATGGCCCTTGGGGGACCAGGGTTTTTCACCCCTGATCTAAAACATACACGCACCTCTACATTATTTTCTGTATAGACAGAAAAACATAGTAATATAATGTTTTTAATTTCTGTAATCATTTTGTAAACAACTGACAATTACGATACTTTATTTACAGATTATTTAACACAAATGATCAATAAAACTGTCATATTGTCTTGTTCTGATGTTGTTCAACCATATTTGTTGTTTAGACCCGGGGAAGCTCCAGACGGAAAAGGAAACAAAAGGAAAATGTTGGAACTATCAGCTGCTGGCTGCTGGTTTTGGGACCTTGTGTGTTTTTTTGACTTTGAGCATCATTGGAATCTGTGTTCATTGTAAGAATGGGAAACTATGTAAATGTCCCTTCAGTCACGGTGTGTGTGTGTGTGTGTGTGTGTGTGTGTGTGTGTGTGTGTGTGTGTGTGTGTGTGTGTGTGTGTGTGTGTAAGAGCTAATATCTGGATGAAACTTTCAATGAATAAATGATTTCGCATGAAAAGTGCTTTATTTGAAGCTTAATGAACTGTTTCAGTAGAAAACATTGATTCTTAATTTTTTTTTCACTTGTTGCATTGTGGTAACAGATTAACTGATCACCAGTTCAGAAAAACGTTCAACAAATGATAAGTTAATCCTGTCTGCAGCTCATTTATTCAACACTACATTTTTTTTATATTCATTCAGTTACAGAATGATGTAAAACTTTAAAAAGTTGTAGTCGAATTTAGGATTTGATGTGTGCTATGTAGTCGGTGGATATGTGAGAGTATATTATTTTATAATAACAAGAGTTTTCATTTTTACTTCTGTAATGCCAGTAAACATTACGTAAAACTATTTGAATGTTTATGTATTTTGTTTTACAAAGGTCTAGGAAACCTGCAACAGAATGATAATTTGATTTAGAAAATAAATAAATAAATACTAAATAAGAAGAGCATTTCTGCACTCTTGAAATGTTTTCTTTTTTAGTTTCAGCACTTTATGAGGGTGAAAAAACCAAGCAGGCACGTCTACTGGAGGAAAATCACAAACTCAGATCAGACAATGGAAACCTGACAAGTGGCTACTACAATCTGACCATCCTGTATAACAACCTGACAGAACAAATTCATAATAATCTGAATGATCTAAATGTGACTCGAGCTCAGTGGAGCGTTGATGCCTACTGTCCCAAAGTAAATGGTATGCACAGATCTCATTCATTGTGTTTAAAAATAGCTATTAATAATGCCATTCTGTCATGCTGTTTATATCTGTACGTGTTTGTTGTTTCAGCAAGAAAATGTTCTCCATGTCAGGAAGGCTGGAAGCCGTATCAGTCCAGCTGTTATGCATATAATAACGCTGAGCCTGCTCGTCAGAGAACCTGGGCAGGAGCACGAGACGACTGCAGAGGAAAGAGTTCTGATCTGACTGTTGTTGCTGATGAACAAGAAAGGGTAAAACAATGAAGCAGCTTTCATTTAAAATAAATTTACACAAACTTTAAAAGATAAATCATGTCTGATCATTTTTTTAAATGTTTTCCCAGAATTACGTCTTTACTATCAGTGTCCCTGAAACTGGAATCACTGGATTCTGGATCGGCCTCAGAGCCGTAAACGGGACATGGAAATGGATCGATGGAACTGACCTGACCAACCAGTGAGAAACTTTTTTTCTTAAAACTTTGAGCTAAAAACACATCAGCTTTGACATAAATAACATTTTATCTTTTCCCAGGGGTTGGGTGGATTATCCTGCTGCTGAAGGTCTGTGTGTAACTTCTCTCAAAGTCTCTGGAGATAAGTGGATATCTAAGAGCTGTAATACCACAAACGCATGGATCTGTGAGAAGAAGGCCTTATCAGTTTGAAGTTAAAATATTTAGATTTTGAGAGATTGGAATAAACATTTTATTGTAAAGTTATGTTAATTTCATACCTTCAGGTTCACAAACTGTTAGGCTGGCCTGCCAGACTCCTCCTCAGTTTAATTCGGCACAGAGGAAGAGTCTGGGAACTCTCCTATTCAAATAACCCCACCCCGTGAGAATTCTAACCGAGCCAGTCGGCGCTGAGCAGCGTACGTCACACACCACGACACCGAGTTTGTCGAACATGACAACTGAAGCGGTGTTCGCTGCGGCTTTTTCCTCTGTTCTTAATGACTTGGACACAACAAGCAGAAGTGTTTAAAGCCTTTCTTCTAAAGAAAGATGTTTGCGCTGTCGCCAGACTCCATTTTTACTACAGCTAAAAAAACTACAGCGTCACGGACGTCACACATATCGACGCTCAGTTTCTCATAAACAACAAAGACAGCGGCAGAGTTTGCTGTGGCTCTTTCCTCTGTTCTAAATGACTCAAATGCCTTTAAAATCACAAGTAAAAGCGCTAAAAGCATTTATTCTAAAACAAAATAAAAGATATTTTCGCCGTTGCCAGATGCCTTTTTTTTTACTACAACTAGAAAACTACAGCGTCGTGGGGTACATTCGGGATTTCTGTCTTTTTTCTGAATGGTTATTCTTGAGCTGACTAGTCCCGCCTCTCGTGGTGCTCTTTGCCGAGAGTTACCAGACTCAGTCTCTGTGCAGAATTAAACAGAGGACGAGTCTGGCAGGCCAGGCTAACAAACTGTGTGTCTTTCACAATTAGAATTTGTTGATTCTTGTGTTTCATGTAAAAAAAAAAAATCTTCTAAATTCATAATGATTTTGTTATTAAAAATTTTGTGAACTGCAACTGAATGTCATTCCTGTCATTTTCTCAGATTTCCACATAGATTCACGTTATTGTTGACAAAATTGTTAAGTTATTTACAAGCAACAACACTTTAATACAAATACATGAGGCTGCGTTTTATTTCTGCAGCTACATTAGGTGTGTTATGAGGTTTAATCTCCTGATTTCTGTTCATGTCAAGCTGAAAGATGATGCAATGCTGAGTTTTCACCTGGAAAAGTTACTTTAGCCGCAGGAAGTTGAGGATTGAGACTCAAATAAATGAAACTAGACAAGGATGTGAAACTGATTTTTAGTTTCTCACATTAATTTGTGGGTTTTAAAATGTTTTGTTGACTAAAGTAGTCAATTCATTCATCTAATGTGTTTCTTAAAACATAATTAAACAGTGAAAAAGTCATCTTTATCTAACACAGTTGACTTCAGCTAAAGCAGGGGTGTAAAAACAGCAAATAGGTTCTTTTTTGATACATAAAGTTTCAAGGTTTCTGTTACACATTAGCCTCATATATTCATAACGTAAACAATTTGATCTTCCCATCATACAGAACTCATTGTGTGTTTGTGGTTTCACTTTATATCTGGACCTTTGGATGCAAATGACCTGGAGACAAAAGCAGAAGTCTGTCATTCATGAGCTGCAAGAACTAAACTATAATTATTTCATAACTGCTGCTCAGCTGTAGAGGTTCTTCTGTCTGCAGCTCTAGGCTGAAACCATGGCAGAAGAGGAGGTAAATTACTCTTCAGTCACATTTAATGCTACAAAACAACCACATCCAAAAGGTAAGTTACGTTTTCTTCTGATATTTTCTTTAACGAACGAGAACAGAAGCATGACACGGACAAATCACTAGAAGTGAACATCAAATTAGCTTTATAACCAACGCTTACTGAGTTGAAATGGTCAATTTAATAATTGTGTTGAATCAAAATATTGAATAAGTCAATCTAACATGCATATAAATGACAAAATGATCACTAAATATGTATGTAACCCTCAAACATGTCATCTTCAGCATAAAAGGGGAAAACCACCAATACATTCAAACTTGGTCATTCTAAGGAATCTTTAAAAAACTGAGATTTAAATGGTGATATTTAACCTTCTCAGGTTCAAAATAAGTTTTGATAAAAGAACGAACAACTAAGTCCTTCAGGGGTACTTCTGAGTTAAAAACTGCTCATGAAACACGTGTGTGGAGTAACCAGGTGGGTTTTAACTGTTGCAAATCTGCAACGCCTGCCTCCAGAGGGTTAACTGGTTTGCAGCCAATTTAGACAGTTTCAGCGTATAAAAATATGCTGGTTTGTAAATTTAAATCTTGAGGTTGGATTTTTAGACAGTTTGAGATGTTTGTTCATTAAAAACATGTTTTCTTCTTTAGGATTTCCTAACAAATACAGTGGTGTGAAAAACTATTTGCCCCCTTCCTGATTTCTTATTCTTTTGCATGTTTGTCACACAAAATGTTTCTGATCATCAAACACATTTAATCATTAGTCAAAGATAACACAAGTAAACACAAAATGCAGTTTTGAAATGATGGTTTTTATTATTTAGGGAGAGAACAAAATCCAAACCTACATTGCCCTGTGTGGAAAAGTAATTGCCCCCTTGTTAAGAAATAACCCAACTGTGGTGTTTCACACCTGAGTTCAATTTCTGTTGCCACCCCCCGAGCCTGATTACTGCCACACCTGTTTCAATCAAGAAATCACTTCAAGTCTATCAGTCTGGTAAAGGTTATAAAGCCATTTCTAAAGCTTTGGCACTCCAGCGAACCACAGTGAGAGCCATTGTCCACAAATGGCAACAACGTGGAACAGTGGTGAACCTTCCCAGGAGTGGGCGGCCGACCAAAATTACCCCAAGAGGGCAGAGACAACTCATTCGAGAGGTCACAAAAGACCCCAGGACAACTTCTAAAGAACTGCAGGCCTCACTTGCCTCAGTTAAGGTCTGTGTTCACAACTCCACCATAAGAAAGAGACTGGGCAAAAATGGCCTGCATGGCAGATTTCCAAGACGCAAACCACTGTTAAGCAAAAAGAACATTAGGGCTCGTCTCAATTTTGCTAAGAAACATCTCAATGATTGCCAAGGCTTTTGGGAAAATACCTTGTGGACTGATGAGACAAAAGTTGAACTTTTTAGAAGGCAAATGTCCCGTTACATCTGGCGTAGAAGTAACACAGCATTTCAGACAAAGAACATCATACCAACAGTAAAATATGGTGGTGGTAGTGTGATGGTCTGGGGTTGTTTTGCTGCTTCAGGAACTGGAAGACTTGCTGTGATAAATGGAACCATGAATTCTACTGTCTACCAAAACATCCTGAAGGACAATGTCCGGCCATCTGTTCGTCAACTAAAGCTGAAGCGATCTTGGGTGCTGCAGCAGGACAATGAACCAAAACACACCAGCAAATCCACCTCTGAATGGCTGAAGAACAACAAAATGAAGACTTTGGAGTGGCCTAGTCAAAGTCCTGACATGAATCCTGTTGAGATGCTATGGCATGACCTTAAAAAGGCGGTTCATGCTAGAAAACCCTCAAATAAAGCTGAATTACAACAATTCTGCAAAGATGAGTGGGCCAAAATTCCTCCAGAGCGCTGTAAAAGCAAGTTATCGCAAATGCTTGATTGCAGTTATTGCTGCTAAGGGAGGCCCAACCAGTTATTGGGTTCAGGGGGCAATTACTTTTTCACACAGGGCAATGTAGGTTTGGATTTTGTTCTCTCCCTAAATAATAAAAATCATCATTTCAACAATGCATTTTGTGTTTACTTGTGTTATCTTTGACTAATGGTTAAATGTGTTTGATGATCAGAAACATTTTGTGTGACAAACATGCAAAAGAATAAGAAATCAGGAAGGGGGCAAATCGTTTTTCACACCACTGTATGCCTGCTTTGACTCCATGACCATAAACCAATAAGATTGTTGTAAACATGGAATAAGAAAAACGTGTACACCTCTTAGGTAAAATTTTCATTTTAAAGCATCAACAATAACCAGTTTAAGTTTAAATTACTTTTAAAAAGATCCATTATAAAAAAAATGATTGCTAGGAATAAAAATGAATGGAACTTAATAGAAAACGTAATATTTACTTGTCTGAGACAGATGAAGAGTTATTAGAATGACTTTTCAAACGATATAGTGACATCGATACCCATACTTCTTTGTGGTTTAGTGGGATTTCGGTATAAAAAATGGAACATGTATTTTACTGTGAGGATTATGGGGCTTAGTCATCAACTTTTTTTTTCCTTTTCTTTTTGTAATGTAGAATGTTTTATGATAAAAAATACATGGAATAAGAGTTATTGTGCAAGTGTTTCTTACACGACTCACTCATATTTTATTTTTTATTCATTATTTTATTACGCATTACTTTGATGCAGCATAAATTGTTTTCATTTTTAACAATTTGTTTAATTCTTTTTGTCTTTTTTGAGAAGTTATTCTCAAGCTGATTAAAAATGCCTGAATGCTGCATTATTTAAATCTTTCAGATATGAGGGAGGAGACTGTGTACAGCGATGTGAAGGTGTACAAAAAAGAAACAGACAGTAAGCTGTTAAACAAGAATATATGGTTCCAGTGAAAATTATGAAGTACAACAGAGCATGTGACAGTTTTCATCAACTAAAATGATTTTCTACTATTTCAGCCACTAAAGAGGAGCAGACTGTGTATGATGAAGTGAAGGTGCAAAATAAAACACCTCAACCAACTTTTGACGTAGCTGGTGAGTCTAAAAATATGGATTTAAGATCTAACAGACCTCTTTGCTGGGAATAAATGAGAAATTTTTTAAATGTGGTCTGAAAGATTAAATGTTTCAATCTGATGTTTCCTAATCTGGAAGCTGTTTGTGAAATCTGAATAATTTCCCTCGTTTGTCTATTATATAACAGGATCTTTAGCAGAGAAATCTTAGCTAATTTATGTCATTAATACTTCTTAACTTGTGTATTAATGTGTTTATGTTCAGCTGCTCCACCTGATAAAGAAGGCAGATGTGGTGACTATCAGCTGTTGGCCTGTTGCTTTGGGACTCTTTGTGTCATTTTGCTGCTGGTTGTCATTGGAGTCTGTGTCTACTGTGAGTGTTAAAATCAAGAAGCTCAGTCATTTCCCCAAATGACCCAAGTTTCCATATGTGGCCTTTTAAAGTCAGCAGTTAGTTTTAAACAAAAAAAAAATAGATGTTTAAAGCACATGAAGGTTTCAGTTGTAAAACTCTTCTTATTCCTGCAGTTGCATCGGTCCAAGGGAGAGATGGAAACCAGCTGACTCAGCTGAGAGCCAACCAAACCTCTTTACTGAAGGAAAATCACAATCTGACAAACCTCATCGGTGAAATCAGATCAGATAACGAAGGCTTGAAGAAAGATCGCTACAATCTGACGGTGCGGTTGGGCAACCTGACGGTGCGGTTGGGCAACCTGACGGAGACATTAAATGTCTCAGAAAGCAGGAACACTAACCTGACTGGAGAAAACCTGCAGCTGAAGACCATAAACAAGAACCTCGCAGATCAAGTAAAAACAATGGAGGCAGCATGGAATGAATTCAGTGGGACTCTAGCTCAGAAGAGCGTTGATGCCTACTGTCCTAAAGTAGGCAGTGGTATGTACAGATGTCACTTTGTATAGAAAAAATAATCTACATCACCTGTAATATGATGCTGTCCTGATGTTTTTATCCTTGTCTTTTGTTTCAGTTAGAACATGCCAAGCTTGTCCAAAGGACTGGCTGTTGAATCTGGGCAACTGTTATGCCTACAATGATGCTAAATATTCTGATCAGAGAACCTGGGCAGGAGCACGAGAAGACTGCTCAGGGAAGATTTCAGATCTGACTGCTGTTGCTGATCTTACAGAAATGGTAATGAGAGAACTGAGAAACTGTTTTTACAAAAAGAAAATGTTTTGATTGTTGAGACTGTTCATTTAAGTGAAGTAAATATGCAGATTTTTTTTATAGAATTACGTCTTTACTATCAGTGTCCCTCAAACTGGAATCACTGGATTCTGGATCGGTCTCAGAGCCGTAAACGGGATATGGAAATGGATCAATGGAACTAACCTGACCAACCAGTAAGAAACATTATTGTTCAACAACTTCTGCTTAAAACACATCAGCTTTGACATAAATAACATTTTATCTCTTCCCAGGACGTGGGTGGATAGACCTGCTGCTGATGGTCAATGTGTAACTTCGCTCAGTGGCTCTGGATGGAGATCAGTGAGCTGTAGTACTCCAAATGCATGGATCTGTGAAAAGAAGGCTGTATCAGTTTGAGTTGGGAAAATTCAGACTTTCAGAAATAACAAACATAATGTTAATTTAAATTATGCTGTAGAGACACTCCTGGATCTGTAAAAACCTGTGTTTGTCTGTTTAAACCTGAAACATTCAGTTTCTCATTTATACACATTTGATTGTTTTGTCACTATGCGTTTTTCTGCTCTGCTGTTCTTGTTGTTTTTTCTTCAAATAGTAAAATAAATATTTGAGGCCTATAGAGCTCCAGACGTCACGTGATTCTCAGAGAGTAGACACCATGTTGGCAGGCAACAAAGGTAAACAAAATGAACGGGACTGGCTTGGATTTTACTTCGTCAGAGTTTACTTCACACTTTAAAACCGAAGAAATCGTTTTATATAGTCAGAAAATAAATAGACTAAACATCTCCAACCCTTACCGTGCCCCTGGGATACTTTTTAAAAATGCCAGAAGCTGTCGGAGCGGACCTGGCCAGGGAACGCCTCAGGATTTCCCCGGAGGAGCTGGCCCAAGTGGCTGGGGAGAGGGAAGTCTGGGCCTCTTGACTTAGGCTACTGCCCCCGCGTCCCGACTCTGGATAAGCAGATGAAAATGGATGGATGGATGGACAAATAACAGATTTACATGTAAGTAGTTTAAATAGAGTGCTGTGCTGTTTGAATGTATAAACTGAACACCAAGAGAAATCACTAGTTTGATTTTTTTCCGTGAATAAAATAAATATGTCAGGCTGGAGCGTCTCAGGATCTGTCTGAGATCTGTCTCGGTGAGACAGATAATAGCAATCCAAAGTGCTTTTTATGTGTGATCTGACAATTGATCAACCATTGCTTAAAATTAAATACAGCTTAGCCGGTTAATTGCTGTGATCATAAAACACGGAAACGGCAGCACGCAGAAATCACGAGGCTACGTTTTACGTAATGTTTACTAGTTGGTGTGAGTAATAAGACAGAAAAAACCACGCCAAAATAAGTTTAGGAAGCCCACTAAGAATAAACGCATTTAAAATAAACACCATACACAGTTGAGGAAACGTTGGTTTAAGTACCTGATATGAAGTGGTCGCTGCATGAGCGAAAACCTTTACTCTCGGGATCCCACAGTTTCATTTTAGCCCGGTCACTAGCGCGTTTTATTACAATGATCCAACGTTTGCGGTGTTCCGGATCTTGGGGAATCCTGTAGATGGCTCATTCCTTATGTCGTCCGTGTCTGTTCTGCATCCTGGGGCACAACAGGAATCTACCATATCTCCCGTTTGAGTTTTCTGACAATAACAAATAGTCCAGCTGCGGGCTTCTGCCTGCCAAGATGGCGCCGTTTCGATTTGAACTGTTGCATGCCGGGAGAAGTGACGTCAACTCCCGGAGCTCTCTTTGTAACTACCGTAATCATTTCATATCTTAGAACAGTCACCTGACCCTGTGTGGTGCTTGCACCTGATCTGATCCGCTCTGACCAGTACCTACAGTGACTTCTATATAGTAGCCGCTTCTCTAAATATTGCCTGCCTATATTATTATCATTTTATTGTGTTAATTTCTCATTTCTAATTTTTACTTTATTTTTTCTAGCACAAAGTACCGCAGCAATTTCTTAATGTTGTGATTTCTCGCACATATAGCAACAAGCACTTCTGATTCTGAAATGTTGATTATTGTGTAAAGAATCTTGTAATTGGTCAACTATCTGATAAATGGCATTTTAAAAACTCTTAAACTGCAACAAAATGTAATTTTTACGTTCTTAGATTTACAAACAGGCTCAATTTTTTTGTCAAATTAAATATTTAGTTATTTAAAGTTAACTGAAAGATGCAGCTTAGAGAAAAGAATCATCTTTAAAGCAACTTGAATTATTGCATGTTTTATATATTTACATTAGATCTGCTGTGGGTGTATTTCTCCTTAATTCTCTGTCACGGAGAGTGTTTTATCCAGGAAAAGTTGCCTCAGCGGGAAGGTGAGAAGTTTTGTATTCAGCACGGGTGTTTAGGGGATTTTGAGTCTATTTTTGCTTTTGTGATGTAGAACATTGGCCTAGTGAACTAGACCAAATTCTTGCCTTGCAAAGTTTGGCTTGCCAGGCTAGCAGAACATTTGCGTAAAGGTCAAATAATTCATTAACAAACAAGGATGTGAAACAATGTTTTCTGTATTTTTTATGTTGGGAGAAACCTGCTCAAAGTATTTTGTCTCAAATTTCTAAGTTATTCAAGGTTATTTCCTTGAGTGACCTCGATCAGAGGAGTTTAATATTTCACACAAGATAACCAACAAAGAAGGAAGTGATTTTGTTATTTTTCTCATAAAAGAATAAAGCGACTAGTCACGCATAACGTCCAGTTGCTCAAAAACAGCCCATATGAGCTGCAGCAGACTCACTTTAGAGGAAACATCCACTTCTGTTAAACCAGCTTCTGTTGCCGATGTGCGCCAAACTTCTCTGTTAAAATTCAGATTATCTAGATGATGATTCCCACCATGGTGGAAGAGGAAGTAGAATTCTCAGCATCCTCTAAAAATAAACTAAATTCACATCCAGACGGTAAGTGACTGAAACATCAGAAAATCCTGCATCTGATAGGAAGTACAATTTGCATGTTGTTAAAGTGATCATCATCAAGTGAAACAATTGTTTTGTATGAAAAAATAAATTTAGTAAACAAGGTAACTATTAAGAGCTCTGAGGTCAAATTAATTTTGTTTAATTTTAATAGAAAAGCAGATTGTCTATTAATTACTGTTTATTCGTATTTTTCTGAGTATATTTTCATCAGTTTGCATGGAACAAAGTTGAAGGAAAGGCAGTTCATGACATTTAATTAATTATTTTATAATTTTTTATATTAACATGACCAATCCTTAATGCTACACCACTAAATGTTAACTTCTATTTTTTTAGCTAAAAAGCAAGTGAAGACGTTGCAATATGACCTGACGGTGTACACTGAAACCACCAACTCTAATGGCAAGTTGTTACACATCCTGTTTCATTTGAAAAACAATATTTTCACAATTTAAATGTTTTAAAAATGAGCAATTCTGCACAATACTTAGACCAATTAGACACAGTTCAGTAGATTTAACAGAGACAATCACAATTCCCTGTGAAGTTGAATGACTTTTGGTCAACATGTTGTAATTGTCCCTTTGACCTTTAACCTATGGAGAATTTAAAGAGCAAGTCACCCCCAAATCAACTTTTTTTTCTGATAAACTGTATAGTTGTGTGTCTAATCGTGCTGCAGACACATGCAGTCAACAGTTTTGCACTTTAGTGTATTTTAGTCCAAATTTTAATTTTCTGCCTAAAACTGTCAGTGTTGTGCTGTTGTCGGGTGAAGACTGCACTGCATTTGAATAAATCTGCCATCGCTATTGGCTAAGAGGTACCCTAGAACGTTAGCTGGTACTATATGATGTCACAATGTTGTTGTGAGCCTGTGTGTGTGTGTGTGTGTGTGTGTGTGTGTGTGTGTGTGTGTGTGTGTGTGTGTGTGTGTGTGTGTGTGTGTGTGTGTGTGTGTGTGTGTGTGTGTGTGTGTATTTGTTAGCGGCTCTGCCCTCTCGGTCTGCTAGGCAACAGCATTTGTTGCATTTTTCAAACAGGAAGTGGGTGCGGAGTAATACTCTGGTAGAGGGTGACTTGCTCTTTAAGGTTCTTTGGTAAATGGCCTGTATTTGCAATTGCGTCTTCTAGAGTTCTAGAACCCCCAAGGTGCTTTACAACACAGTCATTTATCTGTTCACACACATTCACACCCTGGTGGTGATGAGCTACAATGTAGCCACAGCTGCCCTGGGGTGCACTGACAGAGTCGAGGCTGCTGAGCACTGGCACCACTGGTCCATCTGGCCACCACTAGCTGGCAATATGGGTTAAGTGTCTTGTCCAAGGACACAATTGGATTCTCTGCCGGGATAAATCCTGCAACCCTCTGATTACAGGACAACCCACTCTACTTCCTGGGCTACAGCTGCTACATGTTCAATAGTTTTTTCTATGCAGATGATACACAACTTCTCTCAAGCAATGATTTATCATAATTATAAAACAAAATCAGCACGGATGGTAAGAAAATAAAACAGCTGAATAGAATAGAATAGAATAGAATAGAATAGAATAGAATAGAATAGAGTTGCCTGTTAGCTTTTTCAAGGTTTGAACTAGCAAAGTTTTCTTCCTTGATATCAAAATCAAAAACTTAAAACAATAAAATGAAAAAAATTTCTATATCGGTTTCTTTTTTTTTTTTTTTTTAAAGAACAACCTATTATAGATTACTATTATACTATTATACCTTTCAGGTATAAATGAGGAGGTACACATGTATGAAGAGATGACAAGACGACATGAACCATCTCAACCAGTTCCTGACACAACAGGTAAGCTGCATAAAAATTTACGTGTAAAAGTGATGCTGGCATTTCTAAATATTTTTGCTAGAATAAAGAAAAAGAACACATTTTAAAACACTGAAGCTAAAGTCTTTTATGTGTTTTTTAGCATCAGCTGTTCCCTCACCTGGCACAGAAGGAGCATGCAGATGTAACTATCAGCTGTTGGCTGTTTACCTCGGGGCTCTTTGTGTCTTTTTGCTGCTGGTACTGGTAGTAGAATGTAAGTTTACTAAAACCAGTCAAACCAACATCATAACCCTAACCCTATAAAATGATACATGTGGTTTTCCTTTGTGACTTTTACTGAATGTCAGAGATGAGTTTGCTAGTTTAACACGTTTTTTTTTCTCTAAAAATATGAAAATCTGCAGAAATGCTTTGTGACATGTTCACAAAAACGTGGCCTTTGGGTTAATGTAAATTCCATAAATGTTTTTATGATAAACATCTTCAATTGCACTGTGATTTATTATCGTGTGATTGTTCAGTAAAACAACGTTGATTTTATATTTCCTCATTAGGTTGACACAGTGATAGCTTGCTCCTGCTGTATTGTTGTGTTTCCCTTTTCTGCAATTCTAGAAGCAGAATCTTGTTCATCATTGATTGTTTATTTTCGTGGGACCCCCCCCCCCCCCCCCACACACACACACACACACCTGTTGTCTCTTCCTTTCTCTTCCACCTCTGTCTCCATGTCTGGTCGGCATTACAAAGCATTCAAAAAGCAATAACAATAAACAATTAAGTTTTAAGTATCAGGCATGACATTAACTTTGATGCTCCACCTGAGAGTAAATCTGTAAGGCTTGTCACCAGCATTCAGACATTAATTCTGTTTGCTTCACGGCCAGACAGGACACGGAATTTTGTTTAATTAAATATATATATATATATATATATATATATATATATATATATATATATACATATATATATATATATATACACAATAAACATCTTCCTCGCAATCCAACACACTAAAAAGTGTTTGATTTATTGGGAGAACACTGGCTTTTTACTGAAGAAATCAGGCAAAAACACATAGAAAAATCTGCTACATTAATAATATCTTTTTCACTTTTTATTGTATTTTACAGTAACAATCATGTGTTGTACAATTGCCTACAACCCCTATTTCTGGAGAAAATATTACATTCCGAATGAAGATTTAAGGAAGAATCACAACAACCTGACGGAGACATTGGAGTCAGAAACCAGGATTACAAACCTGACTGGAGAAAACCAGCAGCTGGAGACACAAAACAAAAACCTTTCAGATCAAATAACGAACATGGAGACAACATATGGTCCCGGCGACGTTCAAGGACAGTTCAGCATTAAGGTCTTATGCCCTAAAAGAAATGATGATGGTATGTTTGTTTTTCATTACGTCCAAAATATTCAACAATAGAACTTTTAGGTCATGATGCTTTCATCTCTCTCTACTGTCAGAAATCATGTGTCAATTTATTTCATGTGGTTGGCTCTCAAACCCGTCCACATGTTATTCATATAACGCTGAGGAGCAGAGAACCTGGGAAGAAGCACGAGACGACTGCAGAAGAAAAGGTTCAGATCTGGCTGTTATTGGTGATCAAAGGGAAAAGGTAATGAGGAAATGAATAAATAATGTTTCTTTTTGTAAAGACAATTCATCATGTTAGTGAAAAATTGCCCAAGTCTTCATGTCTTCCGGTCGGCTCAGGGTTATAAAAGGTCCACAAATATCTTCATTTTAAATAAAAATAATTCTGTGTGTTCATCTATGTCTGTCACATAATTGGAGACTTATTAGCTTGTAAAAACTCATAATTAAAAGGCTACACTGTAAACCCAGATAAGTAACCAGAAGTCAATTGCTTGCCTGAAATTTTTTTACTTATCTGGAATTGAAACTTTTAAGTTTTCAGAACTTAAATTTCTTAATCGATGCTACTTATATATTTTGATTCCTGTTTAATTATCACAACTCCTGATGAAGGTCTCTGACCAAAAGCTCGACTAACAAAGCTCTCATATCACAGATTGAAGTGTGTGGATTCTTATCTTGTTGATTCCTGTTTAATTAAAATTGCTCATCAGGCCAACTAAAAAATTTTTGTTATATTAACTGAATCATTTTGATTAAGACTTAAAGTTTATAAGCTTTTTAATGCAGATGATTATGTCAACAGAACTTTGAAAAGTTAGTTAAAAGATCTCAACAAAATAAGTTAACAGAACTCAACAAGGAAGTCCAAGACCACACGATTTTAATAACTATAAGTCTGTTTGTGGCTGTCACTTTAACGTAATTTAGATAAATTCAATGATGCAGAGACAAACAATTTATAACTTAATAATTTTTATTTGATAACTGATCCCAGTTAAGTCATTTTTACTAAGTTATTAAAGTTACGCTTGATTAAAAGAACATTTCAGAATATTTGAAATTTGTAGCTTTATGTACTCAAAGATAACAAAAGGTTTAACTAACTCAACATGCTACAACTTTTTAAAAAATATTAAGTTACATCAACCCAATCTAATTAATTATTTTAAACATTTGGGTTTGCAGTGAATCAGGAATGGCATTTATGACGTCACCACAGAGTCTTCTCCCACAGCGTAGCTGCTTTTAGCCACAGACATCATATACACCCCGTAGACTGGAGCTGCAGTGGGGCGCCATCTTGGATGGGTGTGAATAGTTGCTCACCCTGTGTTGACTCCAGTTGGGTTTGGAGAGTGAGGTGACCCACCCAATATGGCGGTGATGCTCTCCAGCGCTCAGTGGGGCGTCTACGTACTCATGTCTATAGCTACTTACCACATGGCCAGATTTATAGGGGGTTTCTCAACATCTAATTCTCCTTCTGTTGTCCTGGAAGAAGGATGTGAAGCTCGCTAAACTCACAGCCCTTTGTCTTCTTCTTCTCCTCTTTGTCTGGTTTGATTACATAATTTTTTTTTCTATTTGTTTTTTTGCACAAAATCTAAAGTAACCTTTACCGTCTGTCAAAAAGAAACATTTTTAGCATAAGAATGTGTCTTTAAAATCCACAAATATCATTCATACATACGTCATTACACAATAACACTAATGCACTACTCAGTATGTCTCCAATGCCTGTGCAAAACCAGATTTACATAGTATGTCTGTGTCCCTTACAGTATAGCATAGTTCTTGAATCCAAGTTTAATTTTTTTTATTATTTGTGGTTTTTATTGGTTAAAGTATATGAGAATAGCTTACTGCCTATGTGTAAATCCTGGTACCTTTGTTATTATTTTTCTTCAATTTATTCTCTTAAGTGTATGTGTGCAGCTGTAACAAGTGAATTTCTCCAATGTGGGATCAATAAAGTCTTCTCTATTCTAGTCTACACTCTAAATCCATGGCATATCAAACAGGATCAGAAAATAACTTTTATTGACCCATAGACTCCCATTTTTGGGGACAGTGTGAGGAACCATGCTCTGGAAGTAGATGGACTTGACTCAAGCTCCCCATGTTTTTGTCAAATCTCAGAATGATGTCACTCGTGTCAGCGTTACCGTGGCAGGAATCGCTGGGTACTGGATCGGTCTGAGAGCTGTAGAGGGGAAATGGAAATGGATTGATGGAACTGAACTGACCAACCAGTGAGAAACCCATCTTGCCTGACACTTTATCAACAAATATTTTAGCTTTAACATAACAAACATGTATTTTCAGGACCTGGATACAACCACCTGTAAATGATGATCAATGTGTCATCTCTGGTAAAAACCAAGAGTGGAGATCAGTGAGATGTGAAGACAAGCATGCCTGGATCTGTGAAGAAAGGCCATTTATTGAGTGAGTGAGTGAGTGAGTGAGTGAGTGAGTGAGTAAGTCTCAACTTGTAACAATCTAATTGTCAAAGAAAAACTATATTTCCCAGCAGTTTGAATGACGAAATCTGTCACTCTAGCTTTGTCAACCCCTTTCTTCACAGGACCTTGTGAATGATAATCAGTGTGTTGTTTCTTTTCAAAACCAAAGGAAAGAAATTAGTGAGATGTGAAATCCAAAATGCATGGATCTATAAAAATAGAGTTGTTTATGTATGTTTCTATAAAAAATTCTTGATTGTGTTTTTTTTACCACTAAAAGATCAACGGAGACGCCGTCATGTTCTGTGTCCCTTTGTTCCCCAGTCCCTCCAGTTCCCACTCCAGGTTTTCCTCTTGTGTCCCATTATTATCCCCAGCCCTCTGTAGACTTCCCTCAGGTGTCTTTCTATCATTCCCCATTCCTAATCTTTATTTAGTCCTCCTTATCTGTCTAGTTATTAGTTGTTTATTTTTGGCCCTCAGTCTTTAGGTTTAGTTTTGTGTTTTATAGTTTTAGGTTTATCTGCCCTCCTCTGGTTCTGTTCCCCATTTAGATAATGGTATTCACCTGCTTTCCCTCCAGCCCTCACTCCACACACCAGCTGCCTGTTTCCCTAATTGCTCCTCTCTGTTTATAAAAACATTGTCTTGTCTCAGGTCTTGTCCACACGTAGCCGGGTTTTTTTAAAAAACGAATATCCGCCCCTCCAAAAACTTGCATCCACACCACCTCGTTTAAAAAAATAACTCTGTCCACACGTACCCGGATAAATACGTTGTTAAGGACATGCCAGACCTGTAGGCGGCAGTACTTCCCCCGAAAGCGTCGTCTTTGGTCTTCCGCAAGTAGCAGTAATTCCGCTTGCAAAAACAAACAAGCAAAAAGCGCTTGGACAATTGATAAAGCGAGCGCAGCTCTGAGGGCATCCATGCTGTCGGCTAGTGTAAACACAGGTCGCACACGTGATGTCAGCATTTTTTGTCACGGAAAGTGACGTTGCGGACCTTAAAACTCCGGTTTTGTCTGTCCACACGCAGACACCCAAAATGGAGAAAATGCAGATCTTCACTTTGGCCGGAATTTTTTAAAAGATCAGTTTTCGTGTGAAAAAACTCCGTTTTCGTGTGGATGACAGGCCAAAACGTTTAAAAATATCTACGTTTTGGCAGATCCCCGGCTACGTGTGGACAGGGCCTCAGTGTCTTGTCGGTCCATTGTTGTTGTCAGCGTGTTTTGTTCCCCCGTGTAAAATCTGAGACTCCTGCTTGTTTTTGTGACTCCCGAACTTGTTCCTGTTTTCTGGATTTCTGGCTTTCCTTTTTCAATTACTCCTGCCTCATGTCGTCTGGTGCTCTGCATATTGCGTCCTACTCCTCCTAATCTGAACGTGACAGACGCTTCTGTTAGTCTATTTGAATAACATAATGACGTTTTTGGCTTTAAATGGTTTTTGAGACAAAATACAAAAACTGACCATATTTTTGTCTGTTTTATTTTCAACTGGGTATCAATGAGGCATTAGGTTTTGGCTGAAATAAACTTAGCTTTAGTCATTTGGGGGTTAATTATGGTGACGCAAATGCCCCATTGTGCTATGAGTAGAATTAATTAGATGAGAGATATAAAGTGATATTAAAGAATGTTTAGTTTTTCACAGGCAGAATGAACACTGTAATCACTGTTTCCTGAGTATTAAAAACACACTGTTAATTGATTATGCAAAATGTATTAAAAGAAATAAGTAATAAATGTTTTTAATAAGTATGTTTGCATGTTTATTTTATTTTTGTTTTGCTGTCTTTTGAATTGGTAATGTTATAGCATACAGGTGGTCAGTTCTTACCAGAAAATATAGTTTGCTAATAATTTAGCGTTAAATACTGGCTTTATGGATTTAGAAATAGTTTTCTTCTACCTTGACTTTGAATTTTATAATTTAGCTATTTATTTTTATTTTTCCATCACCACTGGCATTTGTATACATTTAAATTTTCTTAAATAAAATTAACTAATTAAATCAGCTGTTGTGATCAAAGATTTACTCTGAACCAAATAGCTTTGAATACTACGTCTTGGGTTAGTGTAGTCAGGTGTTATATTTCTGTCCATTTTTTTCATATTAAAATAAAGCTTCATGAAGGGCCTCTAATTTGTGACAAAGGTCACATTTTCCCATACTGGAGTACAACCGATGGCTCATTTACCCTTCTCAGAACAAAACAATGCTCTCACTAAAAGTCTACTTTCTCCTGTTGGTTCCTTTTTTAATATAAATACCTTTTTCATTACCGTGTTTTTGGCACATCTTTGAGGGTTATGAACCCAAAAGTTCTGTAACAAATGATGTGTTTCTATTAGTGCCATCGTGTTTAATATTACAGAAGTAGGGTTTGAATTGTTTTTTGTTAAATGGAAGGAAAAAAATAATGTTACTGTGAGTTCCTCATTTGTTAACACCACAAGTGCCAGAGCATTTTATTTGGAAAGAATTTACAAGAAGTTCTTCTTCATCTCCTTCTTCTCCTCTCCTCCTCCTCCTCCTTCTACTTCTTCTTCTTTCTACCTATAGAACATCGAACTCCAAAATTAGATCTTTATTTCAGGCTGACTTGGTCTCTATTTCACCTGCAACTGTCTATTGGGACAAGTTTGGACATAACGTAGACTGGGGAAAAGTCTGGTCCCTGCCACAGAAGTTTCTTTTGACCAACAAAATTAAAGAAATCTCTTTTAAAATTCTACACAGGTTTTACCCCACGAAGGTATGTTTGAGTAGGTTCAAGAAGGATATTGATGTAAAGTGTTCATTTTGCAACGTACACCCTGAAACTACTTCACATTTATTCTGGTCGTGTGAGTTTACTTACAAGTTTTGGAAAGATGTCAATTCATTCTTAACTCACAACATTCTTCCTGATTTCTCCCTGTTCTATAAAAATGTCATTTTTGGTTGTTTTGGAGGCAGTGGTAAAGATAACGATGCACTCTTTCTGATAAACTTGATTTTATTTGTTGCTAAGTTCCATATCCATAAATCTAAACTCTGTAATAAAAAGCCATTTTTTCCTGTGCTAAGAGCAGAACTGGAACAGTATATATCCACCATTTCTTGTGTACAGAACAAAAAAGCAGTTAAAACTCTGAATACTTGTACGCTGTTTAATGTACTTGTTTAATTACTCTTGTGTTTACTTCATTTCTGTTTATTTATTTTGTTTATTTGCCTTTTACTCTCTTGTGTATGTATTACATCTTTTTTATATTATTATTTGCCATATTTGTATGTCTGACTGTTTGATTGAAGGATTTAAAAAAAACTTCTTCTTCTACTACTACTTCTTCTTCTTCTTCTTCTTCTTCTTCTTCTTCTTCTTCTTCTCGGTTTTAAGAACAAACAATTAAGATTCTTTTAACTTTACTGAGAAAACCGAGAAAACCGCGTCGCCACTGGAGGGCTCTAAATTCCCATCTCCCCTTCACAATGGTTGAACCATCATGTCGATGGGTCGAACGGGTCGAACAGAACCATACTGTAACTCCATTTTGTGACCACTGGAGGGCGTCAAAACATCTCATAAAAACTTTTTATACAACGAGTTTGGAGGGTGTGTGTACGGAAGGTACAGTAGATCAGTTTTATAATAGTGTGATAAATTTGAGGTGTGGCGTGGGACTGTGTGACGACAGTCAAATACGTGTCTCACGCTCATTGCCTGAGCAATTGGGCAGCCCTACTGTTCTCTGAGCAAGCACTTGAACTCCGTGTTTTTAATGATTTTATTTAATTTATTTATTTATTTTAGGGTTTGATAAATTAAAATGTAATGAATAAAACCGTTCAATACATTAATACAAACAAACAAACAAATAGGGAAATACTATTTCTCAGTGAAGTTTGAGACTGATATATCACAAATTTTCTGCTTTGTAATTTTGAGATGGCTGAAATGTGTTTTTTATTGACTGCACCTGAACGCAACAACATTCCGAGCCCTCTACTGCGACTGCGCGACACATGTTTGCCGGAAATTACTCGGTTGTTTTGATGTTGGCTAATGCAGTCATTTGTCACAAGGGGAAGAAAAACTTTAGATGGACACTTTGAGATGCTGGACTAAAGAAAACCCTCTGAATTTATTTCGCTATGCATTTCTCAAGCTGATGAAGTAATCCTGGGGCCGAATGAAGATAGACATTAAATTTGAGAATATTGATAGCTAGTGGTTAGCCGTGCAGTTAGCTGGCTAACTGAAATCCTGCCAATTTGACAACTTTTATTCAGCATGGACTCTACTGCGCTGGAACTCGATGCTGTTAAGTTTGCCAAAACAGCTGTAACATATGATCAAAATGCCAAATATAACGAAGCTGTGTTTTATTATAAGGTGAGTAACTTTGTAAGTTAAAAGCTGATAAATGTTAGCCTTTAGCTTAGCACTTGAATGTTTTCTGTCACCTCCAGCAAAGGTTTTACTTTATTTTTTTAGCATTTTTACTAGCTCACAGTTACTCTTTGTAAGCAGTAGTTTTGGCAAACCACTCACTGTCATTATTGACTGTGTGTCCTTGTTATCTCCCTTGTTTCTGGTGTATTTGTAAATGTTGGGTCCAAAAGGAGGCAGCTCAAGCTCTTATATATGCTGGCATGGCAGGATCCAAACTGGAGGGACTGCAGGACAAGGTGAATGAATACCTGGATCGGGTTCAGGCTCTTCACAACGCAGGTAGGCTGAAACCTGAAGCTGATCGATGATTTCTGCCAGACATCCTTTTGTTGGTTTGGTGTGATTCATTATAGCAAACTCATTAATTTTGAAGGAAATGTAAGACATCCTCATATTCCCGCTTTAAAAGTATCAAAACTATTGAAAGTAAAATAAAATTAATGAACTTGCTCATATCAGGTTGGAAACATAAGAAAAAAGTTGGAATTGGTTTCTTCCAAATCCTTTTAACTGAGTAAAGTGAAGGTTTAACCATTTTCTTTAACCTTTGACCCCAGTCCAGTCACAGAAGAATGACCCACTGAAGTCACGGCAGCAAGTGGATCTAGAGCGCGCCCACTTTCTGGTTACCCAGGCCTTTGAGGAAGATGAGAAGGGGAATGGTGATGAAGCTATTGAGCTGTACACTCAGGCGGTAGAGTTGTGCATCAAGACGGTAATTCTCATGTATTATTTCTTACCTGATACACTCTGAAACTGTCTGTCCTCTATTTCATATCACCTTCTGTTTTTCCAACAGTCCAATGAGACATCAGATCAGACACTTCAGACCAAGCTGAAGCAGCTGGCACGACAGGCTCTGGACAGGTCAGTCCAGGGCTTCACACTTGGTGTAAACCTGGACGTCAAGAGAGTTTATTGTGAAATTAAAGAAGTATTTTCTTGGTTTTTCAGGGCAGAAGGTCTTAAAGAATCCCAGTCCAAATTAACTTCACCACAGACTCAGGACAGGACGGGGCCTCCTGGAACAAAGCCAAGCAGCTGTGTCAGTTCTGGAGGAACAGTTCGGCAGTTTTTACCACTCGGACCAGACTTCAGCCTGCAGGACCGACCGCAGCCTCAGCCAGTTCGGGCCGTCCAGTCCAGTGACCCCCAGGGTCAGCGCTACACAGCAGAGGAAATTGAGGTGCTCAGGTGAGACGATTAATGGAGTGTTTTGTCCACAGAAGAGTTCTCACTCGTTTAAATTTTCTATAAACATTCTTGCTCATTAAAACATAACACTGAAAACTTAATTGGTGGTTTTTGCTAAATTACTGTAACAAGTTCTGGCCAAAGATGATGCAAACCCTCTTATTTCTGTGCTTTAAATTTTTTTTTCTCTGTTTACCTTTTCAGGAGTACTTCTACAATCAATGGCATTGCCTATGTGCCCTTCATGAGCGTGGACCTGAAGGAGCGATTTGCCTTCCCTGTACCATTCTCGTGGGTTCGGTTATTCATTTTGACAAAACTCAAACACAGATCATTCAAATAAAGTCAAATAATTGATGCACCAACCATTAAAATAGTGTCGGCTGAGAGAAAACAGACATGTGTCTGGTTTTGTCATTTAATTACATATATTATTACACATTTGTTACATATTATTCTTATTCAATCATTTTCTGATGGGTTTTTTTTCTGTATCTGTTTCAGGGACAAATCAGGGAAGCTTGCTTTGTCGCCCAAACAGAAAGCCATCTTCTCCCGCTGGGTTCAGCCAGATGAGATCTGCAATAATCCCACCATGATCATGTCTGTGTCCAGCTTCAGCATCAAACAGGTCAGATTGGCAGCTTTATAATAACCCTGTATGCCTGAAACTGATCAAAATTGGTTATTTTCTTAATGCAAATAAATAATACATTTTATGTCCTGTTTTTTTTTCCAATTTAAACTTGACCAATAGATATGTTATTTAAAATATGAGAACTTTATTTATTTTGTAGTAGTGTGCTGTTTAGATCCATCCAGCAGGTGTCATAACATCCTCAAAGATGTGCATTTTGTGAAAAACTACATAACAGACCTTTAAATCTACAGATATATGGTGCATAAAAGCTCTGAAATGATCCTTTCTGCAGACGGTGGTCTCTGACTGTTCGTTTGTGGCATCTCTGGCAATCAGTGCAGCTTATGAGAGGCGTTACAACAAAAAACTCATCACTAGGTACGTTCAGTATTCTCAACATTGGTGCAATTGGCTTTAATTATAGTCTTGAAAATGTTGAACTTTATACTAAACCTAAAAAACTGATTAATATACTTGTACACACAAAGTTGGGCAACAACACACTTTGTTATTAATGTCGTCTGACAAACTGATGAAACTTTAAACCTTTCTGATGCCCAACACCCATCCGCTCATGTTTGACTGTGGTTTTTGCAGCATAATCTACCCTCAGAACCGACGAGGGCAACCCGAGTATAACCCATGTGGGAAGTACATGGTCAAACTTCACATCAACGGCGTTCCCAGGAAGGTCTGGCTTCTCTAACTAGTGAACCTCTAGTTTATGTTATGTCACTGTTATGTTTATTCATTAGTGAGTGTTTCTTTTTTAGGTGATCATAGACGACTACCTACCGGTGGATCGTAACGGAGAGCTGCTTTGCTCGTATTCCAGCAACAGGAATGAACTGTGGGTCTCTCTGATAGAGAAGGCTTACATGAAAGTCATGGGCGGCTACGATTTCCCCGGCTCCAACTCGGTGAGTAAAGATGGAGAAAAAAGAAACGGCATCAGATGATCTTTAGTGAAAAGTTAGCTTTTATTTATTTTTTTATTCATTTTTACAGAACATCGATCTGCATGCACTGACTGGCTGGATCCCTGAACGCATTGCTATGCATTCTGACAATCAATCCTTCAACAAGGAAGACACCTTCCGCATGCTCTTCCAGAGGTGATCGACACAGAAACTCCCTCTTTTTGAATTCTGAATGTCTGTACCTCCTGTTTTCTCTGAATCTTTTCATCATGTTATCTCAATTTGAATCGCTTCCAGGTTTCACAATGGCCACGTTCTCATCACCACGGCGACAGGGGTGATGACCGAGGAAGAGGGGGAGAAATGGGGTTTGGTGCCAACACACGCCTATGCAGTTCTGGACATCAGGGAATACAAGGTGAGTCATAACCCGAGTCACTCTCCTAGATCTGCTGAAGCTGCAGAAACAAAGTTATCTTGGTTTAATCGGGGTTGTTGTTCCTGTAGGGAATGCGTTTCCTGCAGCTGAAGAATCCGTGGAGTCATCTACGGTGGAAAGGTCGCTACAGCGAGCGAGATGAGAAAAACTGGACACCGGAGCTCCTCAAATACCTCAACTTTGACCCCAAAACAGCACAAAGGTTTGATAACGGTGTGTTGGAGCTTTTTTTGTTGTTGTTGCTGTTGCCTACCTCAAGAGAAAATGCCCTCCTGTATTTAAAATAATGCTGTAGTGTCTGCTCGTAACACACACAGGAACTAAATCTTATATTCAGACAAGAGCTCAGAGAATATTAATATGTGTATCAACAAAATCAACTCAGGTATGAAAGTCTCATCTTCATTGGTCTCCAGGTGTTTTCTGGATTGCATGGGAAGATCTTTGTCAGTACTATGATGTAATCTACTTAAGCTGGAACCCTGCGCTTTTTAAGGACTCCTCCTGTATTCACAGGTAAGTAAAAGAATTACTACGGCTAGTAGAAGCTAACGGCTAGCATTAGCAACACCACCACACCACAGAACTCCTCCAGGCTTGTGTTCTTTGTATAGATAAAACATTGAATTGCAAAGCAAGCAGTCAGTGATAGTTGTGTTGCTGTTAGCCAATCAGAGGTTAGATGTTTGCATAAGACTCGTAATCATGACTATTTCTGCCCCCTCCACTCCTCCAACTAACTTCTACTTCCTGAAACAAAAGCATCAGAGCTTTTTCTCCATAGAAAACGACATGCAAGACATTGATTCATGCAGCAGGTGTTTTGAATAAACGAGTGACTGAGAGGTTTAAAACCAAATAAAAAAGATCAAATGAAGTTTTACAGTGTGAGTGCATCTAGTGTGTCTCCCTGGCCTGCTGTTAAATGTTTTTTTTATTAGTCTAGTGTTCAAATAACAGAATTCTCCACATGATGAGATTATGCCTAAAATAAATAAACACTGTCAATCCTGAGCAAATTATTTTATATTGTTACAATTAGGTTGAGGATTGAAGGTTTTCCCAAAGACTTGCAGTAACTTTGTGTCTACAGCTGTGCTGCATTGGAGGGAGGGATATAGTTACAGCTCTCTGAGCAGCAGCAGATAAAGAAGCTAAAATTATTGCATGTTTAATTCACTATTTTAGATTAGCTAAACTGTCCCAAATGTGTGTTTTATTGCGTTTGTTTGCCTCTTACAGCAGCTGGGATGGGAAGCAGGGACCTGTGAAGGACGTCTACAGTCTAGCAAACAACCCTCAGTACAGGCTGGAGGTCCAGTGTCCAGCAGGGGGCGCTGCTGTGTGGGTTCTGCTCACCAGACACATTACAGACAAGGTCAGGGTCCCTGATGGAGGAATATAATACATTTTATTTCATTCCTACCAGATTTTCTATGATAAGGTGAACTTTTAATGGGATGTCTCTTTTTTTCTTCTTGCAACTTGTTTGTTTTCCCAGGATGATTTTGCTCAAAACAGAGAATTTATCACATTGGTTGTTTACAAGACCGATGGGAAGAAGGTTTACTACCCAGGTGAGCTCGGAGAGAGCCCTTACAGAACACTTTTAGTCTCTGCATCACTGAGCTGTGATATTTGCACAGCAGCAGGAGTTTTTCTGTCACACCTTTATTTCTGTCCTGCCGTCTCACAGCTAGGTCAACTGCCTCTGAAAAGACCTTAGACCCTTTTCTGTGATGCATTGCTCCTTTCACAAAGAAAAGATACTGATTCTTTTTACAAAATGTTTCACTTTAGTAACAGTTAAAGTAAACTTGAACAGATCAAAATGCTTTTGAGTTACTTGCTGCACATGTTTTCACCTGATTTCCTCCCCAGCGGACCCTCCCCCATACATCGATGGGATCCGCATCAACAGCCCCCACTATCTGACCAAGATGAGGCTGACCACTGCAGGAACTCACATCTTCACACTGGTGGTCTCCCAGTATGAAAAACAGAACACTATCAACTATACCTTGCGGGTGAGATGCATCTTTTCCAACTCTTAATGCTTTTAGCCATTTAGCACAAGAATATTTGAAAAGCTGGTTTATTTTTATTATTTTATGGTTTTAGAGAAAAAAGACAAAACTACAGTTTTACGAGTGAATGAAAACACAAAAAGCTTAATTTTTTGTAAATTTAAAGTTATTTGTTTATCCACATTACAGTTTTTCCACATATCGACAACCTCTTTAATCCTGTCCATTACATTTTACTGGGTGAGGGTAACTTGTACCTTTAATCCTCCCACTTTCTGCTCCTTCAGATCCATTAAATACATGCCAGTTCAAACACGCCTGTATAATGCAGCAATTTGCGCGTGTTTAGTGTCTGACTTTGCTGTAAAATCCGAAGATGAAAATGGACAAAAATGAGAAAGAAAAAGAAAAATATTTTCTCTGAGCTGCAGGCCTTAAAGGCTGAAGAACAAAGTCACTCCTTAGAATAGATCATGTTTATGTTTACATCTTTAAAATATGTTTTAAAAAAAGCTGTCACAATTTAAATTTCCTCTCAAATTGCCATGTAGTTAACTAATATTACTACATAGTAATATTACTAACTATTAATAACTGAAGGGTAACCTGACACCCGTTGTGCTCGCATCACACCAAAAGACAAACATTGTGTTTGTATTTCCATTTTCAATTGAAATTAGTTTTTTTGTGGAGTAAAAAAACACCAAATGTTTTTCATATTTTCTATTTTGTTCTCAGATCCAAAATATAAAATGGAAAAACGGAACACAGGGCAGATTTTTTATAATATCTAACAGGTTGGGGTTACTATGGACAGGTGTCGTGCAGATAAAGGAATCCCTGATGTGTGAATCCCTGCGTCCGGAGCGCGCACCGGGCAGGAAGTGCAGATCCAGTCAGTCGCTCCCAAATGCCAACTAATTAGATGTGGAATTATATTTTACTTAAGTAAAACATTGAAAGATGAATGTCGTTACTTTATCATTCAGTTAATGAGTGACACCAGAAAATGATGCATTTATTGTTCTCGTGATTATTTCAAAAAGCTGAGACAATTTCCCTACGAGGATCATCACGTCTGTATAAACTACAGAATACACACAGCTACATTTTAACACTCACTAAACCAGGTTCTCAACAAGTAAATGGATCTGGATTGGTTTCCAGATGCTTTATGAAAATCACCTTAAAGTTCTGTCTGCAGGAGACAAAGATACACCTACCTGATTACATCAGCACAGCACCTGTCCACGTCAACCTGACCCGGCAGCTACTAAAGAAAAACTCTGTCCTGCTGCCTGTTTTTCCATTTCCTATTAGGGAAGATGATTAGGGCCACTGAAAAGAAGAAAATAAAGGAAAAACACAAACTTCTTTTCTCAGAAATCTGACTAATCAAATCGGACTGTAATCTCAGAAACCTGACCTTTATTTTTTTTTTTTCTCAGAATTCAGATTTTTGACTTCTTAGAAAAAAAATCTGATTTCTGAGATTAAGTCAGAATTTTTTTTATTTTCAGTCACCCTAATCCTCTTTTGTGAAAATAAGACCTTTTTGTAGTGGGACAGCAGTAACTCACTACAGCAGTAACTCACTACAGCAGTAACTCACTACAGCAGTAGCTCGCTACAGCAGTAACTCACTACAGCAGTAACTCGCTACAGCAGTAACTCACTGTGACAGTAGCTCACTACAGCAGTAACTCACTACAGCAGTAGCTCGCTACAGCAGTAACTCACTACAGCAGTAGCTCACTACAGCAGTAACTCGCTACAGCAGTAACTCACTGTGACAGTAGCTCACTACAGCAGTAACTCACTACAGCAGTAACTCACTACAGCAGTAACTCACTACAGCAGTAGCTCGCTACAGCAGTAACTCGCTACAGCAGTAACTCACTGTGACAGTAGCTCACTACAGCAGTAACTCACTACAGCAGTAACTCACTACAGCAGTAGCTCGCTACAGCAGTAACTCGCTACAGCAGTAACTCACTGTGACAGTAGCTCACTACAGCAGTAACTCACTACAGCAGTAACTCACTACAGCAGTAGCTCGCTACAGCAGTAACTCGCTACAGCAGTAACTCACTGTGACAGTAGCTCGCTACAGCAGTAACTCACTACAGCAGTAGCTCGCTACAGCAGTAACTCACTACAGCAGTAACTCACTACAGCAGTAGCTCACTACAGCAGTAACTCACTACAGCAGTAGCTCGCTACAGCAGTAACTCACTACAGCAGTAACTCGCTACAGCAGTAACTCACTGTGACAGTAGCTCACTACAGCAGTAACTCACTACAGCAGTAACTCACTACAGCAGTAGCTCGCTACAGCAGTAACTAGCTACAGCAGTAACTCACTGTGACAGTAGCTCACTACAGCAGTAACTCACTACAGCAGTAGCTCGCTACAGCAGTAACTCACTACAGCAGTAGCTCGCTACAGCAGTAACTCACTACAGCAGTAACTCACTACAGCAGTAGCTCACTACAGCAGTAACTCACTACAGCAGTAGCTCGCTACAGCAGTAACTCACATCAGCAGTAGCTCACTACAGCAGTAACTCACATCAGCAGTAGCTCACTACAGCAGTAACTCACTACAGCAGTAACTCACTACAGCAGTAGCTCGCTACAGCAGTAACTCACATCAGCAGTAGCTCACTACAGCAGTAACTCACTACAGCAGTAACTCACTACAGCAGTAACTCACTACAGCAGTAACTCACTACAGCAGTAACTCACTACAGCAGTAGCTCGCTACAGCAGTAACTCACATCAGCAGTAGCTCACTACAGCAGTAACTCACTACAGCAGTAACTCACTACAGTAGTAACTCACTGTAATAGTAGCTCACTACAGCAGTAACTCACTACAGCAGTAGCTCACTACATCGTAGCTCATCATCATCAGTGTGTGAATGTGTGTGTGTGAATGGGTGAATGACTGATTGTATTGTGAAGCACCTTGTGGGGTTGTAGAACCCTAAGAAGGTGCTATACAAATACAGGCCATTTACCATTTGTATCCGATTAAAAAAACAATGAACAAGAATTAATTTTTGTTGCTTTACTTGCTACTGAAAATGGAAAGAACGACTGATGACGACTTTTGTCATCTGGACATTTACAGGAGAAACTCGGGGTCCCGTTTTAATACACAAACAAAACCGAACAATAACTCAAATTTGGTCATTTGAGATCATCTGCTTGTTTTTTTGTTTCTCTTCATTCAGAAATATTTTTCAGCCATTTAGGAGCAGTGATGTCAGAGTAGCTGTGTGTGTGTGTGTGTGTGTGTGTGTGTGTGTGTGTGTGTGTGTGTGTGTGTGTGTGTGTGTGTGTGTGTGTGTGTGTGTGTGTGTGTGTGTGTGTGTGTGTGACCCAAATTCTTCTTTTTAGTCATTTATTATTCATAGACCTTCCCTGCAAACTGAAAGCGAGTCTCTGAAGGGTTGTTGATGCTGGAATAACGCATCAAAAGCAGATTTTAACTCTTTTTACATCCCGGCTGCGAGCCGTGTTTACCGTTTGTGCCGGTGTTTGATTCTCAACAACATAATTGCAGGCTTTTACGAGCTTTCTGCTGTTTTTTCTGCACCAAGCAAGCATGAAAACATCTCGGATCACTTCTGCTCAACAATCTTCTGGAGAATTACTGTTGGTTTAACTAAAGATCAAAGCGGCAAATGTAAAATATGAATCCTTTTTTTACATAAAGCACAAGGAGTAAAAATTAGATTTTTGTTTTTTTCAAGATCAACTTTTTAAGCCAGAGTATTTGCGGGGGATTAGAAAAGATCTGTCTCTTTATTTTACTAAAACAGACATGGCTACATGATCTTTAGGTTCTTTCTTTTAGTCTTTCATAAATTGAAGAACAAAGAAAACTATTATTTAGTTTTGCTGTATAATAACAGTTTCCTTTCTTTATTCAGGTGTACTCTGGATGCAAATTCACCTTCTCCAAGATCCCAAACCCCTTCACTCACACCAAAAGGGTAAATGTGTTTTTAGCTTGTACCTTTTGATTCATTCTGCAGTTTAGTGCTTGTTATCTGTGGAGGAAACGTTTCTTCTTGTGTTGCTTGGACTGCTCCCAGTACCATCGATGCCGATGTGTTCTGCTGTTTTCTGCTGGTTGCTCTGACAGCTACTGTTTCTCTTTATGGCTGTTTCCAGATCAACGGCCAGTGGAAGGGGCTCAGCGCCGGTGGATGTGGGAACTATAAGGACTCGTACAAACACAACCCCATCTACCAGATAAACCTGGAGCGGTCCGGCCCGCTGCTCATCGAGCTGCGTGGATCCAGGTCAGCCTCACACCAGATTATCTGATACACCGCAGCTTCACTTTGACCTCGATTTCTTAATTTGGTCTTTGAATTCTCTTCAGAATAATCAGATTTTTACCTCAACTAGATTTGGAAGATGGAACAGAATTAGCTGTTAGCCAGATCTGCATAAACTAATTTATTCACACGGGGAAAAAAGGCTCTTTCTTCAGTTTAAGCAACACTAGATGTTAAAAGTTATCGGGCAGGCGGGCGGGCGTAAAGCCTGATTCGTGCTTCTGCATCTGCGTCAGTGCGGAGACACTCAACACCATTATCTGTTTTTGCGGGCCTGCTGGAGAGCCCTGCAAGGACAGACTGAGTCGAGCTCTCTAACATCCGTCCGTCGAGACGGAGAACGCAAACTTGTGATTGGTCAGAGCACCGCTGTCGTCTACACCGCCACCATTGTGCCCTCAAAAACATAAAGAGAGCCGAGAATAAATAGCGGCAGACACGGAGAAGCTTGAAGAATACCTCGTGAAAAAACTCTAAAAATATGGCAGTTTAATTCCCCCGTGACTGGAGGAGTGAAAAGATGCACAGCAAGCGTTTTATTTGTGGACGGAAATGACGAGAAACGTGGGTTTAGAGGTGGCAAGCGCATGAAGAGGTGGAAGAGAATGAGAGACAAATTTGTCCGTGTTAAAAAGTCTCTTATATACAAAAACACAATATAAACACACTATCTTGGACAGGATACATAACAGGATACCACAGAACAGCGCTACGCCCTCTGTTGTCCTGGCGGGGAATTGCTTTGCAACGCTCCCCAGGAGATGGAGAAGTATGAGGGCTAAACATCTCCGTCCCTGCGTGTCTCTCCCTTTTGGAGCTGACGGAGAAGCATGAATCAGGCTTAAGATTTAACTTTCAACCATCGCTGCAGCACAAGTTTATATGTAAGCAGCTGCTGTTCCTGGGGTGTTACCATGAATATTGTGGTTTTGCTTTATAATAAAAAAAATAATGATAAAAGAGCCGTTCCAACCGTTGCATTTCTGAAATGCCCTTTGGAGAGTCCCATTAAACACAAATCTGAATCTACCTGCTTATTTTTTAACCTTCCTTTTCTTTTAAGACTCGGCCGGTTATTAAAGGTGTGGTTCACTGAAAAAGCATTTTTTAAATTATTCTTTCTGATTATAATCAGTCACTCTGAGTTTTTCATGCAGGCTGAACATGAAAATAGTCTCCTACACCTGTCTTATGATAGAAAATAGACGGTGAAACTCAAGGATATGAAAATCCTGACAGATCTACGTCACACTGTCACGTAACGTTCATGGACTCATCCATCATGACTCACAATGGAGAAGACTGTTGTTGGCTTAGCATCCAGGAAACAACAGAACGTCATGGCTAGTAGAAGTTAACGGTTCGCATTAGCAACTCCACCACACAGCAGAACTTCTCCAGGCTTGTGTTATTGGTGGAGATAAAACATCAGCATTGCAAAGCAAACCGAGTCAGTGGTAGAGTTGCGTTGCTGTTAGCCAATCAGAGGCGAGATGTCTAACTATCTGGAAATAAACCCTGATTTATACTTCTCCATCTGTGTCGGTGTGGAGGCACGCAACACCATTATGCGTTGGCGCAAAAGCTCTCCGGCGAGCTCCCAGAGGGTGACGGAGACATGCCAAAATTTTTAAAGATTCGTCGAAAGTGACAGAGACTGCAAGCTTGTGATTGGTCAGGATGCCACTTCCTGTATATTCGTCAACAGCACAGCCAATTCCCCATTAAAAAGTGAAAAGATATTTAGTGGCAGACCCAAAACAGATTGAAGAATGCATCGTGAAAAATGTCCAAAAATATGAACATTTATTCACCCATGACTGAGGCGACCGCATGAAGAGGTGGAGGAGAATGAAGGATAAATTTGGCCGTGTAGTCTCTGAAGCACATTAGTAAATACTAGGGGTTGTATGAACTAGTCGACTTCACTGCTCTGTAGTGACTTTTTATGCCTGTCATCGGCTAGTCGCTGTCACGTGATAATGAGCGATAAGATGCAGTCCTCGGAAAAGACAGCAGGTGACGAGCCCCTACGCGTCGGGAGGCAACGCGCTGTGCCAGAGCGTCGGTACTGACACCCGCAGTAAAACGGACATTTAACCGAATTGTGACCTTTACCCTCTTGCAATTTAACATTCCCCTCACCCCCATCCTAACCTTAACCAGCTAGCGCATGCAAAGCTCTAATCATTGACGCGCTCCAGACATCTGCGTCCTGAGCACGGCCACAGTAACATTATCAAATCAGGTGTCGCCACCTCAAAAACAAATTTAACACGCAATCATTCAGGTCGGCTCATTTCCTTTTGTTTCTGCCTTTTATTTGTGCCTGGTACGTTTCGCTGCTGTGGAGCGGGGCGCCGCGCATCACCTGTTTTTTCCTCCGGTGACGCACCTCACTGATGCGGCCGGCGAGCAGCGCGCACTCCGCTGTTTTTGCGGTCGGTAGATCTTTTAGAACTGCAGTTCAAAGGTGACTCATAAGGTGAATATATATGAAGCCAGGTAGCAGTTTTTCTTTAGGATTGAGAGGAGATGCAGGAAGATAATAAACAGACAGGACATAAAAATAGTCAAATAAAAACAAGTTAGTTTTTGTACCTGCTGGTTGCAACAGACACCACTGAAGGTAATCAGAAGTGAGGAACAGAAAATGAAATAATTATTTTAATGTTTAGAGCAGCAGGAACTCTGAGAGGCTGCAGGCGTATCAGTGTGTTTGCGGCCGCTGCGTGGGGGGGGGGGGGGGGGGGGGCTGAAGCAAGAGGCAGAAACTACCGTTGTTAAAAGAGACGTGTTTGACTTTGAAAATGTTGGCGCAATTTTAATTGTCAAAAACTACAGCGAACCAACCCTCCCATCCCCCCACCCCGCACGCGCGCCGCTTCAGATGTATGACGTCATCAACGACTAGTCAAAGTCGACTCGATTTTCATTACTTGACTGTCGACTTAAAAGAAAAATGGTCATGCAACCCCTAGTAAATACACTGTCGTGGACCGAAGGCGGGATACCCCAGAACAGCGCTACGCCCTCTGTTGTCCTGGCGGGGAATTGCTTTGCAACACTCCGCCGCCTGAGCAGAAGTTAGAATGTGAAAACCTTTCTGACACGCCGTGTTGCAGGGCTCACAGAGAGGTATAAACCAGGCTTAAGATTCCAAATCCTGCCAGCTGCAGAAATATTCTCCTGCTACGGACAGAGGCAGCTCAAATTGCCTCAAGTTTAGTTTTAACTTCTGTTCAGCATCTTCATGGTTGCTAGGCAACAGAAAATACGCCAAGGTGAGGACAGAAATAAATCGGAAAGCTAGACTGTCCAAGTTCCCAGCTGCTCACTTCCTGGTCAGGAAATGACCCGGTGTCTGGTGCAGACACCAGCCCATGTGCACTATGTAGGTCGGGTCCATCAAAGGATGCAGCTCCTGAATTTGGACACAGCTGCATGTGTTGCTGTCTAAAGTCCAATGCAGCTGCACATCTGTATGGGGACTCTTCTACGCTTTGGTGCCGTACCAAACAATCAAATTTAAACATGTGAACAGTTTCTTCTCTAAGAATTTGTAGCTATAGAAACCTAGAAATGAATTATGAAATTGTAAGTTTACAGTTTGCACTGCTCTGTCTCTGCAGGCAGTACAGTGTTGGCTTTGAGATGGTGACAGTGTCGACGGTGGGAGATCCTGGTCCAGCTGCCTTGCAGAAGAAGAGCAGTGGAGATTACAGGTTCAGGACGAATCACTCCTTCACTAAAAATATACAACAAATTCTCTTGGACACTGAATTTGGAGGTTTTGTTATCTGTCATACCCAATAAAGCCGTAGTCATCAAAGTGACATCAATATTCCACTCTGTGCAAAGAACCTATATAATAGATTAGTTTAACTTTCTGAAATGAGTGACAAATGTAGAACTTTCAGATGTACCTGCATGTCTTCATGTTCTGTTCACACCAAAAAGAGGGCGTGCTATGTAGATTTTACTCCTGATGAGTAAAAAAGGCTGATTGTGTTTGTTTCAGCCAAAGGGAAAGAAGGCCAGACTGGTTTAGTCTTGTGTCTGACACCAAGTGCAGATAACAGACATGACCTCTGTGACCTGGAATGTGTTTTGATCCATAAAGTCTCTTTAAACTCTGCTTTTCCTTCTGGGAATCAAATTCAATAAATCAAACAAAGAAGCTTTTTCCAGGTTTGTGTGAGCGGGTCTCGGTGAGTTCTGGACCTACGTCAGCACTAATAGTAAGAAGAGAGCCGCGGTGACCTCCTCCATAGGAAATGATTCAGTAGTAATTATGATAAGGATCCAAGGCTCATCTTGTTTATTTAACACAATTAGTCCCAGAGTTTTTAAAGACGCACATTCAGGATCTGAAACTCGTGGTTATCAGGATTTTTACCGGTTTTGTTTGTATTTTTTATTTTTGCTACAGATGTGGTTTCAGCTACGTGGAGGTGGATCACGTCCCAGCAGGCATCTACAACGTCATCCCGACCACCTTCCTGCCCAAACAGGAAGGACCCTTCTTCTTGGACTTTGGCAGCACTTCACCCCTCAAGGTCTCCCAACTCCAATGAAGACGAGAGAAAGTACTGAAAGGAAGGTACTTGGGAACATCTTGGGATATTTATGAAACTGCAGTTTGAATGTAAACAAAGTGGAATGAGCTCCTAGAAGGCCCACAATGCCAAAAGGTGACTGCTGTCTCATTTTGGTTTATTTTTGTTCTCTGTTTTTACTCCTCCTGATCTTTGCTGACATGAATGAGAAGATGATGAACGTGAGTTTCAGCTGTTGTGGAACAAATCAACGTTAACGATTAATGAAAAACCATCAAAGTGTGTGGAAAATGTTCAAAAACGACCAAGGCAATAGGAGAATAATAATTCACCCTCAGCAGTTCTGATCTGCACGTGCTCCAGGTTTAATGGAGATGAACAACCCTTTCACCTCCTTTTAAGATGTAAGGTAACAGGGTTGATGCATTGCTGCAAGGATGTTTTCCTCTTATCTTCTTCCTCACCACAGGCTCTGATTTGCTGCATTCATCAGCTCAGCAGTGCAAATAAAACCTGACATTGCAGTGGCTGTTCGGCCGCCGTTAGGTCCACCCAGCTGCAGTTGTAAAGTTCAGAATCACATCTCCGCCGTGTTCTCCACGTAAAACGTAGAGTTTAAGTCGTGATTCAGGCAGAAATGAGTGGACCGTTATTATCCTCAGACAGATGTTTGCATAAATGTTTATAAATTACTCAGCATGTTTAAACCACATGGATGAAAAGAAGCTGCTTCATCAATGCCACAAAACACGTCAAGTTACCAAATCCGGGTCTTTATATAATATTACTGTTGGATACAGTAATAACCCTCACCTGCCATCGCCTACTCCACCTGCAGAGGGCGTCCATCATCACTGGTGTTACGTTTGACTTGACCGTTGCTTTGTTAATATTTTAAGTTTGTTTTCTACACAACTGGTACAACATTTTAGATTTTAAGTTCGATTGAAGCAGAAGTTGTTTTCTGTAAAACATCGAAGGCTTTTCTTTTTATTCTCAGGATCAGAGCAGCACAACAGGGAGTCGAGCACAGCGGAGTTCAAATGATGTCTTCATGTGTTTGTGGACATGATGGGCGAGTGAGAAATACCAGTTTGACGTGTGTGTGCGTGTGCGTGTGTGTGTGTGTTTAACAACCTTTTACAGGTTTTAAGCTCGATTTGCCAAGTTCTTATATTACATTTATTTTTGTTTTTGCTGCACTTTTAAAAATTGTCTTTTTTTTTTTGTTTTTTTTTTTTTATCAAACATCAGATTTCACTTAAAACAAGCTCCTTACTGTGGAGTGTTTCTCTCGGTTTTTAATTTTTTTATTTTTGAGTCCCTCATCAGCAGCCTGGTAAAGACATTACTGTAATTTATCTTATTTATCACTAAAAAGCGTTGCTGTCTGATCCCAGTTCCCCTGAACCAGTTGCATAAGATTAGAAAGATCAGCGTACGTGTCATCGTGACACTCGGCTCAGATGGACGTTCTGATCCTTAAGATCATGTGGTAGAAATCAGCAACAGCTCTGCAAATATAACATTTGTCTGAGCATTACTTAAACATTTATAACGGTTCAGATTAGAATCCCCGATTAGATTGAAGATTAAAACGTCAAGGTTTAACTTCTCTGCTTGTTGCTTCTGCCTTTTTTTTCCCCCCACCAGTTTTCTGAATCTGATTCAAATGTTGGGTCAGTGGCAACTGACTCATGTCCTTGACAACAAAGTATTAGTTTTTGTTGGGACAAACACAATAAAATACATCTTTATATTGTGATTTAACATCAGATTGCATTGTAAACCCTTTAATTTTACTTTCTATTTGTTAATTTGTGTTTCAGCCTCCCACAGTCTTCACTCTATTATAAATTGCAACTTAAATCCTAAATAAATAGTAAACTGCTGTGTTTTAGAAGATTTTGCACAAATTATTATAATTTTTTACATGTCATTTTTGCTCTGTGTTTTGGGGTTAGTAAAGCGTGCGGTGTGCATGCAGCTTTCATTTCCACAGACGTGTTTGTCTCACAGAGGGCTGAACCTTAAATGCTGATGATTTTGTACTATTTTTATTAATAAATAGCACAAACAGTATCTTCACCACAAAATTAGACTTTGTTTTTTAAACCTGAGTTATGTGTGATTGTGACAAGACAACAAGAAGAGTAAACGTTTAGATATGACCATTTTTCCATGTGCTTCTCATCTCCTGTTGAATCCTGTTTTATTTTGTAAGATTTCAGTTTTGTTTTGATTTAAATGACTTCAGACGGCAGCAGGACAATCGTGCAGCAACTTGTTGTATGAATGTTGATGTAATGTTTGCAAAACTTGCACTGAATGTTGGTCAAACTGATGTGTTCCAAGTTTGAATACAAAGGAAAGTATAAACTACACACGCTTTTGTCTTCGTTTTATTATTTCAAAGGAGTTCTTGTTTGTCTTTGAACAAAACATATCAACACGTTTGGGTCAAATATTGAGTTATGGTATAAAGTAAATTCATGTTTCATCATAAATGATCAATATAATGTAAATTCACTTTGAAACTATTTTAGTTTTTCACACCAAAGTTTACATTTTAAGGAGACTACATATTTACAGGCCGGATGTGACAAATTTGTGTTTTTGGAGCGATTAAAAGACCCAAACTGGTTTTATTACACTAATAATAAGATGGCTATATGAAATATGTCAAGTGATTTTTTTTTAATGTTAAGTCACAGATTTGTTTAAACACATGTAGAGTCCAGTTAAACCTAAAGTTATGACATGGACCAAGCTGCTGCTATAAAAGTAGAGAAGAGCTGCTATGTGTGTTGCGTGATGTATTGTTGTACTGTAATGTATTTTTATTTATGATAAAATAGAAACGTAAGAAAAAATATATATATTGATCTCTGACTATGAGGGAGTTTTACTGTTTTTTAGCCACATTTACCACAAGATATGTGTTTTTAGCCTTTAGAAATAGAGGAAGGGCATCATTTGAAAGGCAGAAAGCATGTTTACAAAGCCAAGTGCAACAGTAGTTCAGCTAGATTGTGGTATTTTTAGTTACAAAGTATTCTGTATGGAGTGTCACATGACTGGAGACATTTAGGTCTAATCTTTGTAAGTTAGCTTGAACTTCATAAGATTTGCATGTTTATTTTATAAGTGAACATTTTTCTAAGCCTGATTGTTCTGACACGAGTGTCGTCTGTCCATAGAAGTGAAGAACGTTTTCAAACTTTAAATGGGTCATGTTTTTGTTTTTTTGAGAGGCAGCTTGGTTATGCAACCCTTCCAAGCAAGCCAAGCCTGTTTAGTCTTTTTTAAATCGTCCTGTTGTGAACTTCAACAATTACCGTGCTGCCTGAGTTTCACCTTGTAAATAACCTGCAGGGACTTCCTCTTGTGAAAAGTCTGGTGTTGCTCCTGCATCTTTATATTTGTTACTATTGAATTATGAACCTAAAAATACTGAAAACAGCGTTTTAGTTACCCTCGCCTGATTCATTGGCAGCAACAGTTGCTGGGATGTGATTGAACCGGTGGGTCAATTAGCTTTGATCAGCAACACCTGGCTGCTTTAGTCCTTAGCAAGATGGTGAGTTGTTCCCAGTTTTTCACATTAATTAGAGATTTTTGGCTTTGCTACATAAAATGTTATTGAGTGATCTTTAAGATCTAATTTAAATCAGAAGACTTTTAGTTTTTCGGGTGTTTGAGGATGGGACACGGTCCCTTTGACTCTAAATAATTATGTGTTTGCATCACTTAAGGTGCCACAAATGGATCAGGTGACCTTACTGGACTTCAACAGTCATTTTCTTTCACTCAGGAACTTTAATTAGTGTTTAATTTTGTAAGCTGGGTGACAACAAAGTCCCTTTTGTTAAATATTTAGATTGCTTAGTATTTGGTAGGTTTCTGCTTTTATTTATTCACTGTCCAGTTAGATTTTAGTCTTTACTGGTCTAAATCTTCCTTAGATTGCCCAGAAGATTTTATTCTATGTGCTTTGGGGCAAAAAGACAGGAGGTAAAGTTTTTATTTTAAATTTTTTCCCGTAAAATAAACCAGTATAAATCATTGACATTTACATGAAGCAGGATATATTTGCTAATAATTAAAGGCCCAAAATTTAATCATTGACCATAAACAAATATCCTTTAACATAAAACGGTATTTAAAAGCTTTTTGTTCAGAAAGTGGAATATCAGTCTAGTGAGTCATGCAGCCATTGATGTAAAAGGTCAAAGTTCATTGTTTACAACTTGATTACCTACTAGACTTCAGCACATTGACGAGTCCAGGGGCTACTGGAACAACGGGTTTATCTTCAAAGGCAGGATAAGCATCAGATGATGGCATTTAGGTACAAATGGACGACTGCTGGTCACCTGATGGGGCCTCGGACTTGGCAGCCATCATCGATGACACAAGAAAAGAAAGGCAGCGCGTCAGGAAAAAGATGTTGAGGTGAGTTAGAGCTGATTGTTGGTAAACAGCCACAAGTTTCTAACTTAGATAACGTATGCTTTGATCTGATTAATGGTCGTTAATGAACAAAATGAATGTGGCCTCATTTATTGTGTCACAAGACAAATTTGATCATAGCGATTAATAGGTCTCACACACGATATACGTTTTGTTCATTTTAAACTTTGGCCTCAAACTGTGGACCTCTGTTTCTGCAACAGTGTCCATTTAGATGAGCTTTATATGATGAAGCTAAGACAGAACTCGACTGATTCAAAGTCTGATTGCATATTTTATCCATCCATCTGATCATCCAGGGCCGGCTCACTGAGGAAGAAGGCCCTGGAAGGACGCCCAGATGTCCCTCTTCAGCCCCCCGTGGGAATCCAGAGGTGCTTCCAGGCCAGACCAACCAGATCACCGTTTGCCTTTCAGCTCCTTCATCACATCTGAGGTGAACATCACAAACTGTTGCTGTTACCCTGGAAACCCCAGTGACCAGCTGGTTTTAGAAATCCTTTAGAAACACCGTTTTCTCCAAATACGTTAAACTGAGCTTTTGTTTCCTCTTAGAGAAAACGGTTTGGATTTAACCAAATTCTCATTGTTTGATTTGAAATGACATTTTATTTAGCTTGGGTGAAAAAGTAAACATCTAAACTTCAGATCACGAGTGAAAGAATAGACAAAGCTATATTCTTTATTACACTTTAATTTTTTAACATCCTTTTCACATACATAAAATCAGAAAATACAACCAATTAAACACAGGAGTAAAGAGCAGAAAGCTAAAAAGTAGATTTTATCTGCAGTAACTTTTGCTTTAAAAGTTGACCTTTAAAACATCTCCCCCCCCCCTCCCTCTCCTACAACATGCCAAGTGTTGTTAGCCTGTCTTTAAATCTATAGCAGGTTGATCCAGGTCACACGTATGTAGGCAGCTGGTGACTTCCGCTTTGTGATGTCAACGTTTTCAGAAGAGGAATGAAAACTAAACAATCAGTGCTCTATCTAATCACCATAAGAGTCCAGGTGTGTGCTAAAGGTACAGAAAGCTTAATTTACACCATATATCACATTCATAGATTGAACATGGAGTTTAGAGGTGGAATGGAGTAGTGGCAAGTTCTTCTGCTCCTCAGACTCCTTTCACGAGAACAACGGGTTGCCCCGTCTCTCCTTTCTGGGAACAGCTGTCCTTGACTCGTGGGCGCCGCAGGTTGAGAAAGCTGAAGCGTGACTCCAGGCTAAAAGTCTTCTTGATGGTAGAAGTTGAGTTGTTGTTTCCAGCTGGAGTGTTGTCCAGATCCTCCTCAGCACCTTCAGCCCGGTCGCCTGCAGAGAAGCAGCAGTTCAGTAAATCATCCGTTACTGATTAAAGGTGGGACAGATGTGTTTCTGCAGCATTTTCATTTTGCAGTGCTAGGTTAGCTACATTAGCTAGCATGCTAAAATTGTTATACTGCGTTACATAGCCTGAGTGGATGTCGCTGAGGGGTAAGACCAGTCCTTCCCACTGGATCTGCCAGTAGCTTCTCTTTGATAACCTTCCTGCTGTCCTTTTGAGTGACCCCTGCAGGAGAGGGGATGATTTGTCCCGTGGGGTCCACTCGAAAAAACTCCTAGGGTTCATTTGACCAATTAGGAATGCAGGAGGGTTAAATCATCTAGTAGGCACCACATCCTGAGGAGTCCCCGTCAGAAGCCTGGAGGCTCCAGAGCTGTTAAGTAGGTGTATTCGATTAGGAATTATGGCAGAAACGGTAAAATAACGTTATGGCTGTTTGACAGCATCTATTATGTTCACTTTCCTGCATGTTTTATGATGCTAGGACCGTGCTTTAACACCTGATTTCAATCAGCAGGTGATTAACAGGCTGCTGCAGAACAGGTGATTCAACCATTGAATCAGGAGTGTAGGAGCAGGGAAACAACAAAAACAGGGTGGGCACCAGCTCTCCCCACCTCTGCTTTAAATGAAAAGTCTCAAAATGGATCGAGATCCCCTCGTTCTCTGAAACCAGATTTACAGACGAGCTCCTAGCTTCACGTGTGGCACACGGCTTGCTGTCAACGTGACAAATATTCTGCTTCAGGTGTGTGCCACACAGGAAACAGGAGATCGAGCTTCTTACCCAAAATAGATTCATCCATCTCACTTTACTGTGATTTTCTCATTCCCTTGTCTGTCTGCTGGTGATCTGTTTAATATCATTTCTCCTCTGGCTTCCTGAGGATGCTGGGTATTAGACATCAGTATTGCTTTTTACCCATCACCCACCTCTTTCTAGGTCACATTCAGGCGAGGACGCCCCGCTGCATTCGCTGCGAGGCCCGAGAACCGGCGAGATGAGGCCAAAGTCCGACAGAGACACGGTGCTGGGGAGGTCCAGACTGCAGGGCCTGGACAGAAGAGCTGGGGAGGACGTGGAGGAGGAAGAGGAGGGTGTGGGTGATGGAGAGGAGGATGATGACATGCCGGAGGAGGAAGAGCTGACAAAGGGACACGGTGACAGCAGCTCCTGGGGGCTGCTGGGAGTCGAGCCGAGGCTGCAGGTGGAGCGAGTCTCTGAGTCCTCCTCAGACAAGAGGCTGCCTCCGCTGCACGGCTCATCGTCAAAACACTCTGAGGCCACTGCATTGGGGGATGGAAGGAAAGGATTAATGGAGGTAGAGAATCAGAAACAGTTTCATCACCCTTTTAAAATCCAGTGTCTGCTAGGGCTGCTGTCACCATGGTAACAACCTCCTAGTTATTACTTAGGCAAAATAGGCTACAAGAGGCAGGTCCCCGAAACATCTGGTCTGAAACTGGATTGTTATCAGTATAAGTTAAACTCTACCTCGAATCTGTAGGATAAAGAGAATAACCGACTTGAGTTATGAAACTTTTCTATTGTTGTGATTTTAATGAGCTTGTTTAGTTGATGCTTTTCTGGAGGCCGTAGCCGAGGAAATGTGTTTAGCAAACCCAGACGTGGCTACAGTTCTCTGTAATTAAACTCAAGAAGTTTGTCTCCCGCCTTCAGACTAGGTGTGATTTCTCAGACACTTTGGGGATAAACATCTCTGTAGAATCCCGTCTCCATTCCTGGAGTACAAGCTGGGACTTGAACAGAAATAGACTGCTCGTCTTATCAGGCAGCTCTCAGAATTCCACATCTGAAACAAAAACTAAACAAGCGGTGGCTTAACTGGATTGGACTTTGATTTTTACCCAGGGAGGAACACCGCACTGAACTTACTGGATATTTCATCTGACTCCATCCTAAAGCTGGAGATCTCATCCCCAGAAATGGCGTCGCCCTCGGCGCCAACGCCGGGTCCCCGTGGGCCCATTATGGAGCTTCGGCGCCGCTCGTGGATCTCGTCAGAAATCATCTCCAGGTTCCTCAGGGCTGTCTTGTACTTGCATTTGGCCTCGGTCAGCTTGGCTTGGCGATCGTCGACGTTCTTCTTCAGGTTCTGGAGGAAAAAGGTTGGAAAATGTGGATGAGAAAACATTTTCACTAAGCAGAAATTTAACAGTTGCTTCTGACTGAAACTAGCAGCTGCAGGTCACATGGTTCTGTGTGTGCATGAAACCAAAAGATGTAATTTGTGGAAATGTCAAAGAAAATCAGCCCCAACCGAAAACTGTCACCACTGCTTGTGATTAAGTTCTTTACACCAGTGGCTTTGTTTACACCTGGCATTGCTTTTTACCGTTACATCACCACGTACCTCCAGCTGCAGGTAGAACTTTGCCTTCATCTCAAAGTAGGGTCTGTGGAGGAAGAGGAGGTTTACATTAAAGGCAAGCCTAGATGGGAAAGGAGCAGTATCTACATTGTTGCCATAGCAACCTGGCAGAGGAGGAAATAAAGGCATGATACTGGATGAGTGGCCGATGCAGGGTGGATTAACATCCTGCTGAGGCGATGAGCAGCAAGGCTGCAGCTGAAAACGTTCTCCTGCATCCAGTATCGGCTGTTTAAGCATCGATCATAAAAGGTCCTCCTGTGTTCATCATGTGATTCTGTAGACACCTGTGGCTCCACTTCCCTTTTAACAGGTTAATATGGTTTTATCTGACGGCTTTAGAGACTAAAACAAACCACGTTTCATCTGAAAAGAGAAACGAGACGCCAAACAGACCGAGACGTCCACATGTCATCTGAGAGGACCGGGATCTCGTGGGTTTTACATCCTGTCCGACATCTGAACAGAAAACCAGAGCAAATACTATCTGCTAATGTTGTTTTTTAAAAGGATTGATACAAGAACACCAAAAGTTTATAACCACATAATTTTTTGTTCAAATGTGCATTCCAAATTTACTAGAGGGACAAAGAACCGACAGATTAATTTGCCACAACCGAAGACTAATTATATGAAGAGAACTGTTCTGTTTAGATCAATTTTGTTGTGGAATCTTCCGCTTGAAGTTAGTAAAAATAAGGATAAGTACAATTTAAAAAAAAAACTAAGATCGTACCTGTCAGCATAATGGTAACAATATCCTGATGTTAATTGATGGGTTGTGTCATAATATAATCGTGCCATCTTTGCTGTTTGATTTTTGTTTTAATATTTGACAAAGTTTTTGTAATGTGTGTAATGTAAGTATTTTAAATGTATTATTTGGATTCCAGGAAGACTAGTCGAGTATCCGTCAGCTAATGGGGATCTTCTATAAATAAAGAGCTGATGTATTGACTAGGTGATAAAACGGATAAAAAGTTTTGTTTATTTACTGCAGAACATTGGACTAAAATGACACGAGTAGTCAGTCATGCAAAGACCATCTGTTTGGGAGGCTGAGTGGCTTGGTCCCCCACTGTGTCTACATGCTGCTTCAGAAAAGGACACGAGGACAAACCCAAGCTGGAAACTAGCGGAGAAATACAACCAAATTTACATAGATGGTTTCATTCAGGTATTAAAAATTAAATACATTTCTGTCATGTATTGATTTAGGTTTAAAGGCATAAATCACTGATGATATATTTGGACTGACTAGTCTTAAGCTGGGCGGACACTGTGCGACTTTTTCACTCGTAGCACTCAGCTTCAGCTCAAACTGTACAACTTCCTCGCAGGGCAGATCTCACGAGTCATGCGCTCACACTGCACGACCCAGTTCTCGGATGTGACCTGACTGCTCACACTGTACGTCTGGTAGCAACACGTCGGCCCTAAAAATATGCTAAATAGCAGTTTTTACACAACACGTCAGACTTTTTTGTCGTGTTTTGCCTGTTGTCCTTCAGGAGTGCTGCAGGAGGACACACAGGGATTTATGGGGGTTGGATGAGGAAAACGAAATAAAGTAAATGTGTTTTGTGATCAGTTTAATTCGACATGAACACGCTTTCTTGACAATCTTTGTGAGTAAAAAAAACGTGTAGAAATAAAAACAAACAACATGTGTTATTAGGGAAATAGCGGGCGAGCGGTGTTGGTGCATGATTGCGCATGCGCCGTGCGCGGTTCTGTTACATTTTGGGTCACAGCTGCTCGCAGCGCCGCTTCAACAGTGCGATACCCTCACGAGGGACGAGCAAAATTTCAAACACGCCAGAAGTTTGTGCGAGCTCACAATTGCTGATCGGTAGCTGGTCACGTGGTGTTAATCGCCTCTCGTAACCCCCTGTACACTACACGACGCTCGGCGCAAAACTCGCCCCGATCCCGTGGATTCTCGCACGAGTGGAAAATCGGCTCAAAAAAGTGAAAAAGTCGCACAGTGTACGCCCGGCTTTAGAGAAAGTAATTTTATTCTGTAATATTCATAACATCCGGCAGGTCTTAGTGAAATAATTTAAGGATTGGAATTCAGCGTATAGATGGGACATTTGAGAATAACAGCTGTTATGTGGTATTTAATCATGAACATTTACCACACCTGTTTTATTAGATATTGGCTTAGAGGTGAAACTTTCTGGGGGAGTTCCAGCTGTAGCTGCAGCAGACTGAAGCTCTTACCTGGACTTGCTGATGGTTCGTTTCAGTTTCTTCTCCAGCTGCTTCATGCAACCAGTAGCTACTGAGTATTTCACAGCCGTCTCCTTGTGTAAGAGCTCGCTTCTCGTCTTGGTGTGCTCTGCCTCCATCACCTGTAACAGCCAATCAGAAGTCACTATTAGACATGATCTTAGGCTATCCTTAGGCTCATAAATGTAAAGATGTGAGACACAAAGAACTCAATAAATGCAGGTTTGAGTCCCAAAAGCAATGATGTTCTAAACCAACAAAGTGTTTATCCTCTCCTCACCCGCTGAGTGGCGTGGTTCAGCATCTCCTGCCAGGCGGAGTCAAACTGACGGTTGTCCTCCTCCAGCAGCCTCTGCTCGGCCAGGGAGATTGTCTCCTTTGCAGCACGCAGAACCTCAGTGGCTCTGTGGAAGTCCTGAGAGGCCTTCTGGGCCTCCAGCTGAGCCTGATGGGAAGAAGCAACTTTTGTATTTCTTGGTTTAGAAAATTTGCTATTTATTCTTACTGGAAACCAGTTGGGGCTATTTTCAGGCTTGAGTCTGGGTTAAGACCTAAACACACATTTGAGGAAAACATATTTGCATAAAAACAATGTTCTTTGATATAATGAATCCAAGACTTTAAATCCTAATGGTCACATACAGAAGTATTCAGTAATGAAACATCTAGATGATGCAGAAGGAGGTGACTGAGATAACCACCAACTCTGTGATGATAAAAACAACCTTAACTCAGGATAAGAGGGGATAAGACAAAAACAGGGACAGTGTGTACCAACAGAAGAGTCTGCCTCGTATGCAGAAGATAATGAAAATGCTGCAGGGGAATTTTAGCATTTATCTCCCTGGGTGAAAAAAATTAAATCTGAAGAGCTCACTCTGAAAAGATTTCCATTTTTTTCTAAATCTCATAAGGAAACGACTCGACTCAGAGGTTACAATGAAACAGATTTCCTTCTCAGCCAGATGGGGGGTTGTCAGTTTTACTTCTTTCAAGAAAAACAAAAGAGGGAATTAGTCTTTGTTTACAATCTGTGAGCCTGTGAGGTTGCCAAGTCTGCGCCGAGCTAACGCTGTAGTCAAACGCTCCAGAGTTTTTTAAAAGCCAGTAACAGGAGCGACCCAGAAGTAATTTCTTGCACACCAAAGAAGCCACAGCATGTTTTTATGTTACTCATGTGAAGTAGGCTAGAAGCTAACATTTGGCTAACTATGCTAATGGTAAATTGAAAGCAAAAAATTAGCTTTAAAAAATCTCAAGCTACAGTTTCAATTACCAACAACTCAATATTAAAGTAAAACATAAGTATGAAGTGAATAATGAGTCAATCGTGGCGTTTTACTTCCTTTAGCGAGTCATTCATAACTATAACAGCAAGACAGCAAACAACCACACTTCCTGTAATGCTGGAGCTATAGTACTGTGCCGCACGTAATTTAGGTGGTGTGGTCGCTCACAGAGTCAAAAATCAAGTATATATAATATTTATATAATTCTACGTATATAATATTGGTAGATAAAGTTATCAGCCATAACTGCTGTATTAATATGATGTATTGACATTAGTCCACGTGCATCCCAAATTTTATTAAAACCAGTCACAACAAAAATGAAGTAGGCTAAAGGATTTCAAAAATCACAACACATTCTCACTCCCAGCGCGTCAAAAACAAACGCTTGGTCAGCCTTCCTCCGCGTCAGACCCCTGATGCCAAAAGTGCCCTTTTTCGTCACTTATGTGCGAAAAGGGGGTTTTGCCTTTTCTGACTGCAGATCCCAATGCAGCGTAAAACTGACGCGATGGGATGTCCGCAGCCAGGGCACCAAACAAGCTCATTGTAGCTCACCCTAACCTTATCCTCTTGTTATTTAACCTTCCCCTCACCCCTATCCTAATCTTAACCATCTTGCTAGCTAACACGTTAGTGATGTGTCGGTCGCTCTAGAAGCCGGTGTCGGTACAGGATCTGCTCGGGTGCCAGATCGGCTCGGGGTCCAGCGCCCGCTGATGACGTCACATTACTGCAAATCTACTCGGCTTTCACACATACGTTTTGGAAAGACATCAGCAGTTTTGTTAATAAATTCTTGTTTGTTAACACCTAAATGTTTTCTTTATAATTGTAATTTGTTAATAAAACACCATATTATCTTTGTTTTGTAAAGAATGTGAAACTGCATAAAACCAACATCGGACTGACAAGAAATAGAACAGTTCTTATATGTGAAGCCATATCTGTTTGTATCAATGTGAAGTTCGTCTGTATATTTCCTTAGTTGTTATCTAAATACATGCTTTAATTCAAAATATTGCTTGGTGTCTTTCAATAAAGTTCTTATATTTTATTTTGCCCCATTTCATTAACATCAAGAGCTTTTGAGGGTCACCGTTTATCATTTGCTTATATTTTACATTTCCTTTAGAAATTCAAATATATTTTCTCCATCTCTTCTGGTCGGCTCATGGGTCCCCGGAAGAACGAAAAAATGAATGCAAGTCAACGGGTCTAAAACGCTATTTTCTAATGCGCTCTGCCTTAGACCCTGGATCGCACATATGATGTACTGCAATTTAAATAAAAACTAATGATGGGTGTTTAGACCACGCCTGTCACATAATTTGAGATTTATCAGTTTGTATAGTTTGTAATTGGCATGACTACAAACCAGAAATCGGCACATCGCATTTGTGATGTCACCACATAATCTCCTCTCTCCTAGCTTAGCTTAGTTTACCACATGGCCAGATTTATGGTGGTTCTTTCCTCCTGTGGGCAGGATTTGAAGTTTGCTGAACTTACAGCCATTACCCTCTGTTTTTCTCCGCGTCTGGTTCGATGACGTCACTTTTGTTTAGCTCATTTGTAGACAGAAGATTTTGCTTTTGGTTCTACAAACGGACACTAGGGGGTACTAAAAGCAAGCCAAAAGTGCCTAGTTCCCCTTTAGCAAAAATTTAAACAAAATATTAGACAGTCAATATTAAATCTAATGCCATTTCTACCAGTTTGACTAATAAATAAATATAACTTCACTAAAGAGTGAATAACAGTTATTTTGTGCATCAAGTCTGATGGAAATCTCATTAAATCTAGTTTTTACACAGATTTAATAGCTGTGTGTGTTGACCACATTCCCTTTTGTTCCATTTACATAATTCTGAGGCAGTCACATGAAAACAGGAATATTTCCATAGCCAACAGTTTATTTTCACAGATTTCTTGTTATCCATAAACTTTGCAGAATCTCTGACATCACCACATGCTCTCAGTAATTTCATTATCTACAGGCATCATCCTGCCAGCACAGCAAGATCCAAACAACTGTGTTATTGTTGCAGGAGCTGGGGTTTTATTCCACCCAGCATGAACAGAACAGAAGCTGTAAGTTACCTAAACGGTTTTACTTTTCCTGTGTTTAGCCTCGTTACATCTGCTAACTGATGATGGTGCAGCTTAGCACTTGAGCTACTTTGGTTTGGTTCGGACTTTATCACCATTTTTTGATTAATGTGGTTCCATTAGTCACCTATTTCTGGACCATATTCTGTTAGATGTCATATTACCTTTGTTATGGTAATAAACATTCTTTTTAGCATCTTTTACTTGTTTCTTACATTTGTCTTCAATCCAACTGCAGTAACTTTCAGTTACTTTTTAGTTTATCATTGTTTTGTTCACCTTATCTCTTCTACGCTCTCCTCCTCCATCACATCTCCCTCCAACCCATCCAACCATCTCACTCTCTCTCTTCTCTTATTAGTCCAACATCTCCTTCCATCCATCTCTGTCACTTCCAATATCCATTTCAATCCTTCCTGCTTTTTAAATATCTACCATTGCCCATCCTTTTTCTCATCCTTCCACCTCACACCCAGTCCCTTCTTCCATCTCCTCCCAACATCTCAGCATCACTGTCATCTCCTACTTTCTCTTCCCTTCTCCTGTTTGGGATATAAGCAACGAACCAGCCGGTCAAACTCCTGCAGACACAAAGTACGAGTGACATCATAAGTCTGAGCTATCAAAGGAAAATGATATTAGATGCCCCTTGGACCTTCATAGTTGTAGATAAAATAAAACCAACCAGCTCAGGGATCTACCTCAAATGTTAGTGTTGAATTCATTCAGGCCCCTTTGTTGTCTTCATAACAAGCAGCAATAAGAGGAATGAAGCCAAACCAATCTGCCAAAAGGGTCAACAAATCAGTTGTGATTAAATAAATAGGACGAGATGAGCAGCAGGAGGAGGAGATGGCATTAAAGCGACCTAATTTGGCTCATCTTCCAAGAAATTTGATTTTCTCTGACCTTAGTCGAATGTGGGAATTTATTGCTGCTGAAGCCTGACTTGGGAAAACATGTCTATCACACACATCAGCTGAGGACCTTGCGAGTGTTTCTCAGCCTCATCTAACCTCAATTATCACCAGTTTTGATGCTTTTGTTTCTTCTAGCAGAAAAACAACCAAAGCAACCGTCTCTGACCTAGATCTAAGAGGGGGTTTGGATTCTAATTTCACTAAAATAAGTTCAACCCCAGCTGTGTGATTGGCAATGACTCGTGTTTTTAAGCTAGTAGACAAAAATGAAACAAGGCAACGATCAATAACTCCATCCTGCAGCAGACTTCCAACAGCTTTGCTCTGACAAAAGTGAATCCATACATCATTAATCGGGCTTTAATGCCAGCCTTGTTGTTGCAAACACGCCAACGGATCTTTAAGTGCTTGCATTCAGGTTCAAACAACGAGTCCACATGATGCTCTCACATTTGGCGTTCCATCTTTAACAAAATATGCAAATGGAAGCATCAGATATTAAAGGTCAGCTTGTTAACAGCTGGTTCCACAAACTCCAGTGTGAATAAACCTGTTTAGAAATGTAAAATTACATGATTATACAGAGATGACATAGCCAATCTCTTGTTAATCCATGTAAGCTGAGACAATTGGAACAATTTAAAAACATGAGGGTCACAATTACATAATAACCACATAAAACTATCAAACAAAAGAAGAAAGAAATCCCAACAACAGACACAGTCTGAGGTTTGGGAACAATTTCCATCTTTCAAAGTTTCACAGCTTTGGGGTGGAAACAAACAAACAAACACACACACACACACACACACGAGTCCATGACACAACAGATGAGTTTGACCTTGTCCATCTTTCCTTCTAACTAACCAACCGAACCACCTGCCCACTCATCCACTGATCCATCGGTACACCAACCCACCCATCTCTGTGAAAACCGATTTAGTATATAAAACATGGGTAATGCTTCCATTTACAGTCCCCTAATTACTAAGCACTTACATGGCAATTACATAGTAAGTTAAAGTGTAATATTGCTTCTGAGTTCTTAAACAATTATTACCATATAACTCAGGTTCAAATCTAGTTTTTAATTTTATTAATTATTCCCAGTATATACTGCTTTA